CATCGATGATGTTGTGTCTATACTCGCGGCACACACACACACACACTCACACAGGTACACATACACGCATATGTGACGAGCACAGGTAAATTGTCTACCTCTTAAGCCGCGCTGTGCCGATGTGTGCGTACACCTGCATAGCTTTAGTGCCCAGTGGCCAGGTATGTATTCAGGCAAAAATAACAAAAGACTTAGGCAACAAACTTGCGCTCAAGTATTTCCGATAAATCGATAATGATTTCAAATCATTGCTAAGCCATCCCGTTCTCATATATCTAACTATATATTCAGTCATTTTGAGTGAAATATTTGTTACTAGTATTATGGTCGCCATTTATTTATAAAAAATATTAAAAGATGTTCACATTTTTTAATGTTTTTACTGAAATTTATTTACTCAGCACCAAGGTGTAGTTTTTCTAAATACTTATCAATAATATTTGTTAATTATACAAGTAAATATGTATACACAATATTTAATTTTAAAGAATTATTTATTCCGGCACTGAACCGCCCCTGACTTTTGCGCGTTTTGTATCTTTCAGTTCGTTCATTTGCACAGTCTATGTTCATTTTCGAACATTCGCTGCTCGTTCGAACTTGCTGGCCCTCGTCCCTTACCGATCACCGCGGTCGCCTCTCGTCGCTGCCGTCTGTTTTGGGTTTTTTGTTTTGTTGCTGGCTCACAATATAGGCTGTGAAAGTGGTAGTGCAGTTTCGCATCAGGTAAGACATACACACGCACACTCTCGCATACTCACAGCATACTCACGCGCAGGCATACCTACGTACGTACAAGTATGTATGTTTGTACGAGTACATACGTAAAATAGTTATGCATGTACCTCGATGAATGCCATGTAGCCGTGCACAGCCTCCTCAGCCACCTCTGCTACAGCTTCAGCATCAGCATCAGCTTTAGCTTCAGCTACAGCAGCAGTCGCAGCCTCGACGGCAATCAACGTTGTGTCGTGTCGACTGGCTGACTGTTTGTTGTGTGTGCTTTTTTCTGACTGTCGCTTGCTGCTGGCTCGTTGCGATTGCGCGCCACTATATAGGGTGTCGCATCACCATAAGCCTGTGGTTCACATTGGCTAGAAGCATTTCATATAACTGGGGCACCAAAACTGAACTAGTTCAGCTACTTTGAATAAATCATTTTCTACCTTTTCCGATTATCTGTGTATACAAGTACATACATTTTTTTGCTATTGGGCGCCACTATATAGGGTGTCGCACCACCATAAGCCTGTGGGTCACATTGGCTAGAAGCATTTCATATAACTGGGGCACCAAAACTGAACTAGTTCAGCTACTTTGAATAAATCGTTTTCTACCTTTTCCGATTACATATCTGTATATACGCTTACATACATTTTTACGCTTTCTTGAAATTTGTTAGAGTTTTTCAAATTTTGTGATTTAGGTTGTGTGTAGTGTTGTATTGATTTTTATTTAATAATTTACATAACTTCGAATCCCAATCATTTTTACCCTTTCCATAATTTCTAATACAGGTTCAATAATAATGCTTGTTGTTATCAAGTGGAAAACCTAATGTCAGCTGTTCCGAGTATTAAATACTCTGTACATATGTGTAGAACATTTATAGAAATTATAAAAGAATTACGGGCGTTATACAAAATCACTAATTGCGTTGGAGAGGGAGGAGAGAGGGATATTACGAAATACACATTTTCTGCTTATTTCTTTATATACTATAATAATATAATTAATGGTGTCTCTAGCTCTTATAGTCTCCGAGATATAGGAGATTATACGAACGGCGTTATGGAAAATCCCCATTATCGGGGATCCATCTGAGATGCATGCGTTCATACGGACAGACGGATAGACAGGGCTCTGTCGACTCGTCCTGTCATGCTGATCAAGAATATATATAATTTTTGGGGTCTGCCACACCTCCTATGCTATGTTGATTTTGAGATATAAGTTGTAACATCTAGGAGGATAAATGGTAGACCACATGTTCTTCGCCATGTTCAAAAACAAGGGTATATAGCTTCAATGCAGAAGAGGATAACATTTCGGATCATTTTTCATAAATCTATAGCCTCTTTTGATAGCCTCAGATGGACTTGATCCTTTTTACATCGACCAGCAGCTCGACGGATCTTGTTAAAGGTCCCTGTTGTTTTTATATTTTTGGCTATTGCGAATAGTTTGTTCAAAAAAAGGCGTACAAATTCTCAATTGCATTGATATCCTCCTACTGACTTGCGCCAACTTCTATAATCTGGATCGACAACAAAAAATTAAATATTTTGCACCTCAGGGAAATTTATAATAATTTAAAATTAGAATAAAAATATAACACATTTATAAATATATTTTTACTTCATTTTTGGTATATTCAGGGTTACAAAATTAAATTAAATTATTAAATGTGATTGATTTTGCAATTTTGTTGACTTCTTACGAAATTCTTAGGCAAGTATTTTCTATAGATCTTGCTATATAATAGTGTATAGCTAAGTGGAAACTTAGGTAAGCTGTAACCTCCATCATAGTGCCTATTACTATTCCTGGTAAGAAGTCCTTTTCTATTACAATAAAATGCTAGTTTATGTAATATTTAAAGGCAGTGCGTTTTCGGACAGCTCTAGATTTATTTTCTCTCTGTCTTGGGAGCCTGAGCACTATGGTTACAATACGTGCTGAGATCCATTGTTTTGAGAGGTCATTTGTCCCGTTTGGCTTCTCTAACCTTCCATCGATCTCTCATACCAGCTTTAGGACTTAATGGTTGGCTTATCGATCGTCCTGTTTCTGTAATTAAATAAGAAGTTCAATAATTTGTGAAACAATTAATTTTTTTACAATTCTTTTAATTTGAGTTTTATTTTCATTTTGTTTATTTTTTGCAATATATTAAATATTTAAATCTAAATTTATGCTTACATACAATCTTTTTGTATTCAATTGTTTATTAAAGGTTTTCTTTGCAATAAATTTATTTGTTTTTTGTTTTTTTAACTGGTCGAAACTTTCACTAATGCTTTTTAATGCGATTACATTTAGTTTTATATACATATACAGGTTACATAGTATGTATGTATATATAATATATATTTGTAAGTGTGTAAAATTAAACAATCAACATGGTTTTTATCGCTTTTGGGTTTCTTTGTTATATATTTAGTTGTTTTTTAAAAAAAAGTCTTATTTTTTCTGCAAAGTAAAATCTTAGACAATCATATGACAAACATATTTCATAAACATATATGCATGTGTGTGTCGGTATGTTGTCTGTTGAACGTAGTTGATGAAACTATAGAAAACGATACAAAAACTTCTATAAATTTATTATTATATGCAGCACATTAAAGCGGTTGTCGAATTGTCAATTTAAATTTTGTTCAATTCCAAATAGCAGCCTGAGTGACGTAAGTTTGAAGGAGCGGAAACAAAATAATAAAATATTAAGGATGCAATGCTGTTAAGTTTATTGGAAGTGATGGAGCGATTTTAATATATATGTAGATATATATTTCATTATTGTATTGTGCAAAGGTTAGTCAGTTGGCTGGAAGACGCTTAAAAGCCAGCAAGTGCTTACTGTAGTTGTTTGTCTTTGGATTTGATTTGATTTGAGATTTGAGATATCGTTCGCATTGTTACCAAAATATATATAGACTACATATATAGTATGTATGTATGTATGTATCATTTTCATTTTAAAATTAGGCACACCAACTAGCTACTAAAAACATTTGCTTTTTGCTCTAACATAGTAAGATTGCATGTAGGTTTACAATTTACAATAAAAATTGTGCTTTAAAATGTTGTGCCTCAGAATCTACGTCACTTGTTAAAACGTTTGTTAACTTTTTCTTTTGAATTTGTGTATGAGAGTGTGTAATTCGACAACTTTTGCTAAATTTAAATAGTTAATGTTCGTTTTGTTTAGATAATACTGTTTTATTCATTTTTCTTCTTCTTTTCTTTGAATTTGCGCACATAAGTTAGACTAAATGGCCAATGTGTGAGAATCGAGAGCTTGAGAACTTGAGGGGCTTCAGGCTTGGGCTTAGCATCCTGGTATTCATGTATATGGATGTGTGTAAGTGGTGTCTGAAGGTTGTGTTCAATTACAGAGCTACTGTTCTGTATCGTACTCTTAATTGTGGCGAAAAATAAAGCATCCTTTTTTCTTTGGGTTTTTTTTTTTTGTTAATTGTGATATTTCTCTTGCGGAGTTGGCAGTGATATTGCGAAACATATTTGTTTTCCTTTTCGATTTCAAATCATTTGAATTAATATGCAAAACTAAATAGTAGTAGTTAGCGCAATGCTTTCTATTTCGTTCTTCTTCTTCGCATCATTTGTTGCATCAAATATTTTCATAAATATGCACATTTTTAAATTTTTTGGAATTATTTTTTTTAGAGCGCTGTTGCTCTTGTAGTTTTCTTTTATAAATTATTTAAGACAAATATATAATTTATATATATGCATGTGTACGGTTCACACGGTTACTGGATACCTTTATTAAACCTTAAGCAAACGTGCCTTGGCCTGTCTGGCAATTGTCTTGATTCAATTTTGTTGTTGTCGTTCATACAATTTTATTATCAATAATAATATTATATGCGCGTATATAAATTGTTGCTATTTGTTGTATTTACAAAATGCTTCGATGTCGTTATCAATATGACTAAAACGTTTTCAAAACTAATCGTAATCGTAATATTAATATAAATGTTTGTATTAGGTTTAAAAATGTTTGTTATGTTAGAAATGTTTGTGTTAAAGTTGTAGTATTTGGTTTGCTGTCCCTTCAAAATCGATTTTGAAATATATATGAATCCTTTACTATATAATTTTTTGATCGACGAATTTGTTTATGGTATCCGATCAACTATTTATAGTTGATATTATATTGGATAAAAGTTCAAGTGTAGCTGCTAAAAATGCATTTGTTCATGCTCCGATTAGCAAACTGCACAAATAAAGGGACCGACTATCAAATTACATTATTTTGTGTTTATCAACTAATTTTGTTTTGTTTTATTTTGTTAAATATAAATCTTCTAGTTAAGTACATTACTCTTTGGTTTTCCTAAGCCTTGTTAACGACTAGAACATAGTAAAGAAGGAATCCGTTTCACATAACGCATATCGACTAATGTTTATTTATGGGTTGCTGCTAATCAATAACTAATTACTCTCCTCTTGCTATTGGTATTTGTATTTGTATTGTACTAAGTTCACGAAACGCAATCAAAATGGAAAAGAGGTATTAAGTCATATTGCTTAGTCAACTGCAGCAGCGCTCTAACGATCACAAATGAGAACAAAACATAAAACATACTCCCGTACTACTTGCGTAGCTCTGAGAAGATAATCAATGCTATGCAGCTATGAAATAGCTCTAAATAATAAAATAATACAGTTATTCATAAAATATATAAAATCTAAGTCGGACTGTCCGCCTTGGAACCAGCATTCGAATTGTCTTGCAATTGAGCGAGTGTCTTGAACTTTTGAGAGTTTAGGAATCTGCAAGTAAGAGATATATAAGTTAGCGTCTATTAATATATATCGTATACAGATTAGCTCACCTCGGATATGAGTCTCTGTGCATTAGTGTATAAATTTGTATTTGAGCTTCGTCGAAGGTGTGCGTCGTTGGTTCAATCATATTCCGATTCACAATCTCACGCACGCGCGAGTCCAGGGACACCTCACGAGGCGACAGTATCGATATATAATCCTCATATATCAAGCGCGCCTTCTCCTCCACCACTTCGGCACTATTCTCCTTTTTGAGATCTTCACAGGCTAACCAAAAAAGTATGTTCTCCTCGCTAAATTCACTCCGCAGAAAGTCACGGAAGACTTTGCGTCCATCTAAGAATATAAAATAGCAATATAAGTATAAGGAAAAAACAAGAAGGAATCGTAATGCTTATTAAAACTTCAATTCTTCATTTATAGTCAGCACTAAAAATATAGACCAATGCTTTGTCTTAAAAGCCGTAGATCAGATACCTGAATGTATATCTCATTTCAATCTTATAAATTTCTGAAAAAGCAGTACATTCTTTTTTAACTAATAATATTTCCCATTTCCGAGGGTTAATCCTTTTAATATATCGGAATTCATATCAATAAATATCATAATATAAATGGAAAAATATGCAAAATATATATGAAGTGGAGCTCTTGTGTACTTCTGCCTCCACTGACTAAAAACTATTAGGCCAAAAAAGCCGGCGGTTTTTAAACACTTGAACCAAACATATAGTCGATATATCATCGATTGTCTGCATATTAGAAACTGTTCAATAAATATACATTATGATTTAAATGAAAATCACAGGTTACTCTGCTATTTCCCTGTTTTTTACGAATATGTATCGCAAGACTTTGCTGAATAAATATAAAAGAGAATCGAGAACAAAAAAAGTTTACTTTTAAAATAATGCTTAAAATTATCTCAAACATTTCTAAAAAGTATAATGAATCTGAACTTAGCAAACCGTAAAATATAAACTTTTATAACCTGGTGCTGACATTTAAAATAGGCTATGCTTACTTGAATTTTTCATTAGTTTGTCAAAGCTCTTGCCCCAGCTTCTTATCTCTTCTAAAGTGGGCCTGAAAATAAAATAAATAAATCAATTATTTTGACATTTGAGTATTGATTTTAGGCAAGTAGGGAGACAAACTTACTGGTCGCCTTCTAAGAATTCAGCACTAACGAGATCACGTTTGGTCGGCGCATTTTCATCGGCATTTTTGATGGCAAGACTGAAAAGATGCGATAATTAATCTATAACGCTCTAAGGTAGGCTACGATTTCTGGTGGATTATGTGTGTGTGTGTGTGCGTGTGTCCAAACGATCAACTAATCTGACAATAATGATTTAGATCGAATTTTTCATAATCGAAAGTTTAATTAGTATTTCTTTTTTTACATTTTTACTTGGATGTTTAGTTAACAGTGTGCGTTTTACATTTTATTCAGATAAATATTTGTTGTGACAATTATTATCACAAATGCAAGTAAAACAGCTAGTTAGTATCTTTATAGAAATCTTTATATAAAAGCTTACTTTAAAATACTTGTTTTTAAAGGATATGGTTAATATTGTTTTGACGCGTTAAATACTATTTCTGAATTATTGTTTTTTAAAAGTTAATAACAAACTTTATAATTTTTTTTTTTTGTCAGTAGCCACAAAACAAAACCATAACATAACATTTTAGAAACGATTTTTTGTTTCCACATTATACTGGAAGCCCATGCTGGACAGAAACGACTAAATTTATTTAAATTTATGTTTAGGTCGTCCTTAGCAAAAAACATTCGCTTCCAATAATGCTTAGGAGAAGTTTCAGAAGTTTTCACCTTTTAAAATCAGTTTTTCTAACAAGGGCGTAGGCAGCTTTTACCAAAGGGGGGCCAAAAAATTAAAATCTTGATTAAATAATGCACGATGCATTTAAAAAATATCTTATGCATATGATCAAAGAAAAAACTTCAACAAATCCAACTCAGATCCATTTTAAGGCAAAATAATGCGTCATAATAATGAACGTGTGGTCGACTTTATATGGAAAAATTTTTTTTTATGGGGGGGGGGGGGGGCAACGGCCCCCTCTGCCTACGCCCTTGTTCTCTAACAATGCTTTAAAACATGTTAAATAGGAAAGTATTTCTAGAATAATCTAATCTAACTGCGTTCTACATTTCTTCTAAGCACATGAATATGTACTCGTGAATATATAGTATATATTTCTTTTTGACATTTACCTAATTAAAAATTTATATATTTTAATAATTGGTTCGCAAGTAATATGTCTGCCTGAAAATTTTTAGCAAATACTTCAAATTCATTATGCTTATATATGTATATAAAAGTTACCTAGTATGTATGTACATATACACTCCTATATAAGGACAGAGGTTGCCAAAACTTGTGGCGCTGAAGGGCACATGACCTGCGAAATGGCGTGGTTGGTTTGTTTCATTCACGAAAACATGAAATGCCTAAAGAGCAGCCCCACAGAGTACTTGGACCACATACTTATTTATATTAGATTGAAACATGAAAGGCACACAAAAGCTCTGGGGTACTTGAGTTGGCGCTCCCAAAAATTGTGAATGAATGTGGGAGCGCACAGCTATTTTGTGCTCAGAGCTTTTACTACAATTGAGGGGCACAGTGTTGCCAACAACAAAGAGAACAAAGAAAAGCCATGGGAATGTGTTTTTGTGGGACTGTGTGCAGTGCTCCCAATTTAGCTTTTTTCTCGCCTGTTCGAGTTTGGGATTTTTGGCGTTTTTATACCCTGTACCCAAAGGGTACAAGGGTATATTAGTTTTGTGCGAGTGCACATGGAACACACAGAAGGAGGCTTGGTAGACCCCACAAAGTATATATATTCTTGATCAGCATGACAAGCCGAGTCGATATAGCCATGTCCGTCTGTCCGTCTGTCTGTCCGTCTGTCCGTCTGTCCGTCTGTCCGTCTGTCTGTATGAACGCAAGGATCTCCGAAAGTATAAGAGCTAGAATAACCAAACTTGGTATACAGATTCTCCTGAGACCGAGAAAGGACGAGTTTGTTCATTTTTTCTGATCCACCCCCCCACTCCCCCCCCTATTACTGATTTTCTATAACTCCCGTAATTCTTGGAATTTTCAACTCAAATTTGGTAGTCACATTAGGTTAGTTATTATATAACCGTATACCAAGTCTCCTTATGATAGAATGATCGGAAAGAAAGTTATAGCCATATAACCAGGCCCAATGCACACATACATACATATGTACAAGTACACAAACACGCATAAGGCACGATTCTGATGTAAATGTAAATGTATGTATGCATGCATGGACTATTTTATATTTAATTTAGTTAATTAATTAAATTAATTTAGTTAATTAATTAAATTAATTTAGGTAATTAATTAAATTTAATTAATTAATTAATTTAATTACTTTTTTGTGGGGTGGTACAGGGTATTTAAGAGTTGAGCCTGCTCGACTTTAGCATTCCTTTCTTGTTTTTTAAAGTTTAATTGCATTTTTGTTGCAAGGAAAATTAGAAAAGGCCATAGTATTAAAGTAATTATTAAGCAATCTGCGGGCTTTCATTTATTTAAATCAATTTAGCTATTTTTAGCTACTTTCCATTCTGTCTTAGCTTTTTTTGACACTCAAAAACTGCCAGCACTGGCTGTGTAAGGGGTTCGGATGTGAGTTGTTCTAGGAACTTACCATTTAGCCCTGTTGTAGTGGTCGTGTTGGTGCAGCACGATTAGCATGGCATGACAATCAATAAATAAGGTTCTCAATTATAGTTACACACAGTTTAGCTTGGATATGTACATTGTATATGTATGTACTTACCAGGAACAGGAACAGCAGCAGCACCAGCAAAAACAGCACGGCTTCTGTGATTGCGGACGCTGGAGCGGGGCATTCGATTCCTGCAGCACATTCGATGCACCACCAGGTAACGTTGTAGTTGTGCCGATTGGACTATTTGCACCGTGCTTGCCCCCACCACTTCCACTGTTCGTACCTGCTGCTCCAGATGCGCCGCCGGGATTACCACCGTTCCCGTTACCGTTACCATTGCCATTGCCGCTATTGGCGCCGTTGCTAGCAGTGCTTTGTGAGGAGGCAGTCATGCCGCGCAGCCGACAACCAGTTGGTAGCTCAGAAACGATGCAGGACATGCTATATAGTCGTAAAGTATGTAATTGAATTAGTGGTGGTGGTGACGGTGGTAGGCCAGTAGCCAGCAAGTTCAATGCGCACTATTTTTAACGTTAATGGGAAATCAACTCACACGCGAAGAAATCAAAGCCATTACCTGCCCTTTCAATGTTGAAGTTGACGCAGCGCCAATTGGCGGCGCGTGGTCGTTGGCGTCGTCGTTGCTGCCTGCTGCTGCTTCTTCGACTGCCACTGACCTACCGTTGCCCTGCTCCCACTCTCGCACTGCCGCTCTCTCGTCTACTTCCACTCTCACTTCTACTTCCACTCCCACTCTTGACAACAACGACAACAACAATGGCAATTGGGCAGAGCAGTCAGGCAGCAGTTGGCGCCCTTGCGCGCTCTCTAGAGAAGAGCACCACCGTTACGTATTTATGTTTTTCACTAAATTTTTTTATTGAATACTCAATGACTTTTCCGCTCAATTGATGCTCTTGATTTTCGTTTTTTTCTTTAGGAATTTTACTGTACTATTATTATTTTTTGTTTTTTTGTTTTACTTGTACATGTGCTTTGTAGTATAGAGCTATTTTTTGTTGTTGTTGCTGCTGTTCCTGTTGTTGCATGCGCAAAACTTTGATTATATTCTAGCACAATTATCAAAGAAAATAAGAATGTACATTAATGTGTATTGTTGTTGTTGTTGCTGCTGTTGCTGTTGTTGTCGTTGTTGTTGCTTGTCACGACATGGTATGCCACTAAATTCGCGCTCTTCTCACCTCCTTCTGGACAACCTGCCTGCTTAGCCTGGATAGCTAGATAGATTGAGCGTGGGCAGGTGTGGTGCGGGCTGTGTTTGTTGGTGAAAGCAGCGCCACCATTTACATATTTTATTATTGTTGATGTTGAATTAGTTTGTAATGCAGCGATTGATAAACAACCACAAATTTGAGTTGGCCAGCGCTTTTTTGGACTCTACAGTAATCGCGCACATTTTTTTTTATCAGCGTTACGAAATTGGAAGCTTCTGCTTTTAGTTTAATTTTATTTATTTCTTGTGGCTAGTCATTACACAAACACTTGCGCGTACACACACACCATACACATTAACACGCATTTGGCATAGTGGAACGTTTTGTTTAACAGTGGAAGGCGCGGCGAGGTCGCGAGGTCGGTCGATCGGTCGGTCGATTTGCTTGGTTTATTGGTCGGCTGGCTGGTGGGGCGTATGCGTGATTTTTCCCCCGTTCTATGTTCATTCGCTCGCTACTTTTGTATATGAATGTATGTTTATGTATGCTTTGTTGCTGTTGTTGACAGCACTGATACCTGTGGTCGTTATTGTATGGCACTTCTGCTAGCCTTTAATTGCACTTGGTTCTAGATTTGTTCTTCATTATAGATTTGGTCGCATGTTTATCATCACAATGCAGCCATTTGTTCAACACAGTTCCTTTTAATCTTGTCGTTGTTGGTGTTGGTTAGCGTTAAGGTATCTATCATTTTTTTCGTGTGCGCTTCCGTTCATATTTTAACAAGCACACACACACACAAACACACACTCACGAAAACACACAATCCCACACACTCCCACCGTTCTACACTGACAGTAGAAACATCATCAGCAGGCAGCAGCAATCACACAGTCTGTATGTATGTATGTATGTATTTAGGAGCAACGAGTACATACAAATTTTTGCTTGCCACTAAAAATATTTTTCTCCTCGCGTTTCTCCGAGCGTGTTTTTGCGAAAATTGTTTTGCTTTGATTTTACATTGATTTCCGTGAAATTCACTCGAAGCTTTTCAAAAATTGATTAACAATAATGCATCCTGGATACTATTATATTTCTTGCACGCGAACCCTTGCCATATTTCGCGTTTTCCTTTTACCACATTATCCCCATATCATTTTCACTGCTGCGCTTTTTTTCTACTATATGTGTGAGATTTGAGATTTTTCTTCTTTTTTGTGCTGCGAAAGGCAAAATCCAAATCCTCGACGACGGCCCGAGCACAAGTTGGACACGTCTCTCTTCGTTCGGGCAAAGGCAAGCGACTGATTTCGAAAGCAGTGCCGTTGTAGCGTTTGATTTTCCAATGCGCGCGCTCCCGAAAAGTGGAAAACCAAGAGCCAAATACTTATGATTAAAGCTCAAATAACTATACATTCACTATATAGAATCAGCGAGCGAACAGGCCAAAGAATTCCTGGTACACATGACACATGTGCGCGAGTATATCAAAGAGAAAATGAGCTTTTCCACCTCCCCTACCCACCCAACCAATACACTTGCTGCTGTTTATTTCACCGCTGGAATTTGGGTTGTGCTTTGAGGGTGAACCCAAAGCTTTCTCTTCACAGGCGGTTGCCAGGGCTGTATACACGTACAGATGTGAACTGATTTTGACTTTTGATTTTGTATCGATGAGGCGCACATAATCAAATAATTCCAAACGTACATATAACGGTTGAATATATTTTTTACAAATACAATTGTTTATTTAAGCACTACACCTAGTAATTATTTGTTGAATCTTACATATTAAAATACACGTTTTCTGGGGAGTTTTCTCATAATTCGTCAAATGATACATACAAACAAAGGATATAATGTTTGCATGTTAATCATTTAATTTACGTTTAAATGAACACGAAATCAAAATCCATTTATCAATTAGATTATTCAAAAAAAGATTAAATTACTGAGTGAAATATTAGATCCAAGAAAAATATACAAATTTGTATCAAATTATGCATTTGAAAATGAGAACATGACTAAATTATTTATTATTTTCACGTTAAACAAGACAAAAGCAACCCTCTCTGCCTTAAGTCTTCAGGAAAATTTTTCAAAAACATTTAATTGATCAGAAATATTGACAAAAAAGTAATAGGAAGTTTTTTAATTTTTGAAAACATAAATGCTAACATTTTACATAAAAACTAAAAACAACTCTGTAGTGAGTTAGAAAATGTATGTAAGTACAAGCTAGAAGCTTGAAAACTATCCCAATGACTTCACCGAATTATAGAAATTCACTAATGCATACTTTACTAGAGCAATTCATACAGATACGCGTTTTCCATTGAAAGTAAATATTGTTTTATATAATTTATATAAATTTCACTTCAGGTATATAATCTGATTGTAGTGTCGGCCCCCGTTGAAAACACCCAGGGCTGTACTGGATGCCAGGTCACATCTAAGACCCCAAACTCTTCGCGTTTTTCGTGGGTCTGCAACTTCTTAAGCGGCACAATCAACGGATTCTGCAGCAAGTCACTGAAATGCGATATAATTTATATTAAGCATGTTATAAATATAGGATTTATATTATTTTTAGACAGCTTACTTGTAGACCATGCCATGTGAGACAATCACAGCTTGATCATCACTGCCAGAGGCAAAGAGTGGATAACGTAAATGGAAGGCTACACTCCTCACAGCGTTGCGATGTAGTCGCATGGTCTGGTACGGTTTCGTAGACAGATCCAAGTCGAACCAAAGCATTTTCTTGTCGTAGGTGGAGACAAGAAGGTTATCGCCTTTAGGATGTATGGACATTCCCGATATCCACTTCGAATTGGTTAGCAGTTTCTTGATTAGTTCTTGTTTGACCAGATCGTAGATGCGTATGTTGTGCTGCGTCTGTGGAGATAATGTATTGCATAAATTCGATGTAATGCAAAATGTACGTAGAATACAGACCGCTACAAAGAAACAAGGTTTGATCGGATGGAACAGCACGCACTGGATAAGACCCTTGCTCTTCGAGAATGGTATTTGCGAACGTCGTTTGGAAAGCTGATGTATAAGTGCCGACCGATTGGCACCCTCAGGCATTACGGTGGCTAAGTAATCGCCGCGTCCGTGCCAAGTCACTTGACGTATAGGCTTGAAGTGTGTGATTATCACACGCACGCCCTTCTCCTGTTCGGCTCCCTCCGCATTCGACCATTGCACTGCAGCTTTGATGCGCTCATTTTCGATTACATCCGATGGAGGTGCTTCCGCTAGCAAGTCATCGGTTTTTTTTATAAGAACTTTATCGCCCACCTTTGGATTAACCAGCAAAAGACGATATCCAGTGGCTACCGCAATAATAGAGAGCTTGGCATTGGGACACCAGGCAACACATCGCACCACGTCATCAGTTTCAATTGTGCGTATGCAACGACCTGTTGCAATTTCCCAAACTGTAAGGCATTTCAATACATTAGCACGATAATAGAAAATGGTAAGATTACCTTTTGGCACTTACTTTTAACCGTTTTGTCGTCGGAGCCGGAAACCAAGTATTCGCCTTTAGGCTCTACACTAACCGATCGCACTAGATCTGTGTGTCCACGGTAAACGAGACTTTCAACTGTTGGGAATGGCTGCAAGTCGCGTGGTGAAGGCAATTTTGGTATGAGATATTCAGCATCGATGTTTAGCTTGACGCGTTTAGCGCGTGGGCATAAATACAAGTCAAGGCAGCGTAAGAAGCGTTCCCGCATGTAACGCGAATAGGCGGGAACCTCACGCAAGGATTTGAACTTCTGTGGCATAAAGTGAAGCTTTCGTTTGTGCGGCTCGTCCTTAAGCTTCAGCCATTCCTTGGTCTCCTTCTCGTCAAACAAATACTCTGGCGGAGGATTGTAGGACTCGGCATGTCCGGGCAAATCTCGTTTTGGAGCTGAAACAGGATCGTGTATGCGACGCATTTGATCCCGACTTGTGTCCGTCTCCCAAAGCATATAAAACTTGGGTCCACGCTTTTCTTGCTTTTCACGTTCAACCTCTTCCATCGTTTTCATCCAACCCATTTTAAGGGCGTGAACCATGCGGGAAACCTTTTTTTTCTCCGAAACCGAAGGCAGGAACGAGCGTTTGTGATCTGGCACATTTTTGATAGGCATTTTCTCTACTTCAGATGTGAACCAATCAATCCAAGGCTCATATTCGTTGTGCTCAGGGTTTGGTATGCGAGCTGAATTTACCCGTTTAATTAGTGCAATATCGGCGTCAGTCAGCAGCACTTCCTGTCCAGTCTGAGGATCTTTGACAGTGCGCCAAAAATTAGGATCCTCTATTTTACGCAAAAAGTCATCGATTTGATCGCTTTTTGGCGGTTTAATAATTTTTTTGGCATCCCAATCATAGCCAATGTGTTTGTATTCGTCGTACCAATGCATCGGTATATTGCCAACAGTATTACGTATGTCCTCTTCGTCGGATGTATCAGAATCTTCGTACTCGTCTTTCACGCCACCCGGTTGGGCCACTTTACCTTTAGTTTTTTTTGGCTTTTGAACCACCTGAACTGTCCTGCTGGTTGTTGGCTTATCCTCGGTTTCTGCATTATTAGTGGACTTTATTGGCTTGGGAACTTCTTTTAGGTCATGCTCATTTTCGCTGGACTGATCACTTTCACCGGATTCCTCATCGCTATCATTCACTTCGTCCTCATCCCCACTGTCATCGTTTTTCGCCAAATAATTTCCGTCTTCATCGCTCTCAAATTCAAGATTGCTGCTGCTATCTGAATGATACTCCTGGTCTATACCTTCATCATCGGTTGTATCTTCACCTTCACTGTTGTCTTTAATGGGTTGCAGCAAGTCCTTTTAAATACGAAAATATTTAAGCAGGCCTAGCGATTGATCAACCGAGCTTACCTGGTTTCCCTCATTATCGGACGTTTCAGAAACCTGCGCTACATCTTTGGAAGCCTCCGTTTCTTTAACGTTACGTTTTCTTGTTAGTTTTTTAGTCATCTTCGTCGAAATTGATGGCAAAAAACAAAACGAGCGACGCACGTGTTGCGAACGGCAAACTCGATAGAAAAATATCGAGCCATTCGATAGTAGAGCCCGATAGAGATGAGCGATGTTTTTTGAAAAGCCTAAGCAAAAATTCTTAACGGGCAATATTATTATCGATATTAGTTCAAGCGATTTACTTAAAATCTGAATCAATTGATGGAATGATCATTTCCAAAAGTACATAAAAACTATAATACCATAACGAACACGTTTTGACAATAAATCAATTTGACTTATATTAAATTAAATTATGAGAAAAATTTAAATCTTGAATACCACTAATACTACTTAATGTTTAAGTGAACGAATCTATGCCGAATCTATATATTATAGTGTACGATTTAGAATGACAAAATAACAAAGCAGAATGAAGTTACACTCACACGGCAGTAAATAACAGTCAATGTATATCGAAATAGCAAAATTATCGAAAAATAAGTTTGTACTCTTTGAGCTGTGCAACCCTAGTCAACAATAAAAAGTCTGAAGCTGGAATTCCTGTAATTGGTTCGTATTTTGCAGAGATTTCATCATCTGCATGCTTTTCTGAAAAGTATACGCCTTAAAAACTAAGTAAGCCAATTACCCACAGCCCAACCCACACAAGGGCCATAACTCAACAGAATCACAATGCTATTAATTACATTACCATTACTCACCTTCAGACGATACTTCAATTTGCGTACACACACTAACAACAAATACATACACACAATGACTGCGCCGCGTCGACTTCGCAAGGAACTTAGCGATTTGCAGGAGAGCAGCATTAAATCCTTCCGCGATATCAAAGCGGACGATGATAACCTACTGCGCTGGACAGGTCTCATTGTTCCCGACAACCCACCCTATAATAAGGGAGCCTTTCGCATTGAAATCAATTTCCCGGCTGAATATCCATTTAAGCCACCGAAAATTAGCTTTAAAACAAAAATTTATCATCCAAACATTGACCAGAGAGGTGAGGTTTGCTTGCCAATAATCAGCACTGAAAACTGGAAGCCGGCGACACGCACAGAGCAGGTGGTTCAGGCGCTGATAGGACTTATTAACGAGCCCGAACCCGAGCACCCATTGCGCGCCGAACTTGCCGAAGAGTTTCTTAAGGACAAGAAGAAGTTCATCAAGAACGCTGAGGACTACACCAGGAAACATAGCGAAAAGCGTCCTGCCGATTAGTCTAGTGGCGATGGCGAAGCGCCAAGCCACAGTAAACGCAGCCGGATGACGACAAAACCAAATTGAACTTAAAATTAACTATAGATGATTGGCGAGACCGGTAAGAAAAAACTTCGAATACAGCCAGGCACGAAATAACATTTTTGCATAGATGAAAATTATATCAAATGTTCCAACGATTTAAATTGTAGTAGTCGCTTTTTCGCATTCATGTTTTACCTAGAATAATAAACAAAAATGCGGATCTTTCGTAGAGAGGAATAACAAGATGGAACACAAAGGCAGGCAAAATAGTTTTTAAAATTTAGAAGTGTAATTTTATGCGAAAATACATGTTCGTTATGTTAAAACAGCAGTCTCTTTCATATTATCCGGTACCTGTTGAGTAAGGGGTGTAGAGTTCAAATTTACGGCCACAGTTAAGGAATCTTCACCCAGCAGTCGACGATAGCAAGCCAGAAGTACGCCGTTGTTGTACTGCAGCAGCACACTACTGAATTGGTTCTTGTGCAGCTCCTTGATGTTCAAAATACTGTGTGCATTTTCATCACTCATCAACTGCATTAATTGATGCATCTGTTTCAATTTATTTTGAATCAGTCCTGTAAGCGTAATTGTGTGACTGTTGTTATCAAATTCGGTGCTTTCATATATTTCATTTGTGAGGAACAGCAGTAAGGAGACAGCGTAGTGTGTCAGGAAGACTAGGTTCTGGAAGACCAGTTTTTCCGGCTTAAGGTCCAGCAAGGACTCAAGGAGAGCCAGAAAAAAACGCTGCTGAGTTTTGTAGTATGGTTCATCATCATTGAGCGGTTGATAACTAATTTCTTTTTTGTTTCCCAATTCACATTTTGGTGCCGTCTGCCAAATGGGGTCAATATCAAGTGTTTCCAGTATTCTGAAGCGTAGCAACAGTAGTGGCTCAGTTACAAAGAGACTGCTCTGCAGCTTTGAAATTGGCGTGCTTTTAGTTAAGTGCACTTTCAGCAGTTCCTGACGCTTTTCTACACATGTACAAATAGTAGCACCGTTTGTACATTTCTCTACTTGATTTAACTCTCTCCGCAGACAATAAATTTGCTTTAAGAGATCACCATGCTTAAGACTTTGTCGCTCCGTATACGAACCACCATAGACTGGCATCCAAAAACCAAGCGCTTTGTTCGTTTCCTCTTTTCTTACAATGCACAGATCATCCGCTAGGGATCGCACATGATAGCGATTGTAATACATGGCCGAGACCAGGCTTCGTAGCTGATGTATGTGCCGGAAATACTGCTTATCATTGGACTCGTAGGCATAGATGCTTTTCTCAATGGCATCACACTGAAGGTTCATAAACAGGCGGCAGCAGATTTCGTGCTGCAGCAGAAAATCTTTGGGTATTTGAGATTTGGTGAATAGCGGCATTACCATCGGATTGTTGGGATCATTTAGCTTGGCACGCATATCTTGCAGCAGATGCGTTAGTCCAGCCGAGTCTTTTAGATAATTCAAACAAATCACGTAGACCTCAGAGTTTCCACGCTTTGACGTCGCCGGCTTATAGATATGTACCTCATTGAAGATACAGTTAAGCATATATAACAAAGATACGCTGCAAGCCTCAAATAGAGTAAACATTTTGATGACGAAGTTGCCGCCGGCACCGAGTGTACTGAGAGCCGTAAGAATTTCGGCCGTGAATAGTCGGGCCACAATCTCTTCCTGAGCGTCCGGTCGTGCGGCACAATCAATTGAACCATCAGCTGTTATTAAATGTACGCCATCGGGGAACTCGTCGATGCAACGTTTTGACATATTGTCAATGTTGGCAACATTAATGAGATTACCAGTGAAGTCCTCATGGAAGATCCAGTAATCCAGCGTGTGAAACATGAAGCGATCATCAGTTACCATCTCATTCAATGCGTTTCCTTCATAATACGGATTTAGGGTTGTGGAACGCCAATTCCACTTTATCTGAAATAAAACCACTTTACCAATGCTAATATACTTTGAATTATAATTTCTAATCACCTCCTCTGCTTTGTACGTTGTGTGCATGTAGTGGTTCAGAGCCGCTATGAATGCCCCAGGTGCTTCGCAGAGGTGCAACGTATTCACTACCGACTTCCCAATCAGCGGGAATCTATTCAGGCACTCAAAGAACTTGCACCATGCCACAGTCACAAACTCTGCCTTGGTTTCGTTTTTAAGACGCCACACCACCTCACCCGAAGGATCACGCTTATTAGTGTGTGTGCTCCACTCATGCGTGCCATAGTCGTTTAGTTTGCTTTTCACTGCATTTAAATTTTCCTTGAGTCTTTGTAAATCTCCGAACTGGTAGAATTCACTGAAAATCGACTGCCCCTTTTCCGGAAGATGCCAAGCAACTCCTTCACTGGGCTTCTGATACAGGAACTTCTTCTCAAAGAGTTGTTCCAACTCATCTCTCAAACTAAGTTTTGGACGCATTTTCCAATTAACAACCAAACAATTTTAAGCGCTGCCGATGATAATAATCGTCAGCTGATGGGCAGTTGGCAACTCTTTGTTATCGACTAGTCGTTAACAAGCAGATATCGGCGGCTGCCATATTTTAAAATGTGCACCCATACGGAGTCATTTTACCAATGCACTTTTAAAATCACCTTCAATTTGATTATTATTATATTTAACAGTAAATTTATAACAGCTCTTTGGGAGTTGAGTGATATTATATTTTTTAAAAAGCTGAATTTTTATTGTAATTAATTATCATTAATTAATTATAAGTGTACTCGTATTATAGTATATATTTATAGTATCTAAATAAGTAGGCATTCAATCTATAAACTAAGTAAGCATTTGGTTTTATTTACAAGAAAAAACGAATGAATTTAATGAAATGTATTGAAATTTTGAATTCAGAATTCAGCGATTATGCTGAAGAATTTCTTCCAGCTTTTAATGTACTTGAATATGATCGATTCAGGACTCGCTACACAATATCCTGCAAACACACCTTTATTATCCACAGAAGCTAATCTAAAACTAAAGTAACTTGGTATAATAACAAAAGAACAACAAAGTCCCTTCATAATTCTTATTTTATTTAGTTTTAACAACTTGTATTCTAATTTTAACATTAAAAAAATGATTAGATTACGCAACAAAAATCAAGTTTTCATTTAACTGTTAAAAGCACCCTTATAACAGACATTTAATCGGACTAGAAGCAACTGATAATAAATCCTGAAAACGTCGACATAATGGTGGTGAAGCTAATAATTGAGATACTTTTGGGAATACTTTGGGTGCATCCATTGTTCTGTTCTACTTCCAGGTGCTAATCTAGAAGCTTGTAGTGTGCTGAAAAAAAGAAATTATCTTCATGAGCATGCAAGCTAACTCCAAATGAAATATTTAAAAGCTGTTTTCATGGTCACGAATATGAACATATTGCTAGAAATAATAAGAAAATTTTTTAGGGATTGGTCGATACCTCAGTGAATGACCAAATTAAATGAAGCGGCTGATTCGTTCGTTAATGTACGCATATTTACAGTTAAAAAACAAAACTGAACGCGATTTTTAAATTGTTTTTGTTAGAAAAATTAAGTTTTTGTAAAAAAAAGTTCGACCAAATTTCAAAGTTCTGCTGTTAGTCATCATAATTTATAATGTTGAAAATTACGGGCCTGCGAATAATGATTTTAGCTGAGCAACAAAAGTGCACAAATTTCTAAATTATGTAAAAAGTATAGTTATATGACTTTTCGTTTGTTTTCACGTCAAAGCCGCAGTCCTTAATGATGTTTGTTGCTGATGACTGCTTCTTTTTTCAAATTGAACATAACATATTTATTTCTATCGGATATTGAATTTTTTTAGATAAATCTAAGCTATCAACTAATTTTATAAAGCTCATAATAATATTAGAATTGCATATACAAATGTAGTTGTCTTCTATGAATAGTCTTTCGACAAATATATAGTTTTATTGTTGCCAATTGTATAATGGAGATATGTACATACTTACATATATACCATAAAAGGGGCATAAATTCATTCTAAGCTAGTTTGGATATAATACATTGAATGAACATTCTAAATGCGAATAAAAATATTCGCAAAATATTGTATTGCTGCATTAAATGCAACAAAATAAAGCAATATCGATTTTAGAAGAATTTTATACTGTCCTATTTCATAGCTTATTGATAATTAATCAATTGTACATTCATATGTATAAGCACAGTTCCCGCACCTCACCTACCCCCAGCCATAGTATATATTTATCGACTTCCTCGCCGCCAAAGTAAGAATCCAACAGTTAGGCACATTTCCCGACAATACGTACAAATGGGTGCTTGTGTGATGAAAATACAAAATGGTTTATTAAAATTAATATCATTTGGTCTATGATACTGAAGTTTCAAGCTTTGGGGGTGCGTAGAAAGCGTACACTATGTACATATTTGGGAAACAATAAAGTGAATAGAAATTCATATTAAAATAAGTATCATGAAAAAAATGTACCCACAATTGTTGAATGTTGTTCTGCATATTAATTTGACAATTAACTGAAATCTGGTGACAACAAGCTTAAGCGGAAATGGTTGTGGAGAAATGGGCATTGGGACGGACTGGAGGATTTTCTTCACGTGTACATACATATTTATGTACATAGCTAAACCAATCATGCTCGCAATAGTCTGCTTCTTAAAGCATTAATTCATGACTCGACCATCGGAATTCGAATTCTGCGCTTTTGTCGAATTTGATCATTTTATCCGTGCTTGCGTTCTCTGTCGTCTTTATAACAATCAAAACGTGCGGCGGCTACACATTAATAATATCATTCAAGTTATGACTTTTCAAAGCAAACAGGAGGATTCAATTGCATTGTTTCTATACTGATACATATACATACATACATACACATATAGAGTGTACTTATGTATGTACATACATATATAGAAACAAAATCTGGTGAACTTCTGTTTAGGCCCGTCAAAAGATTGGCAGTTCGTTGTATTCGTCGTTGTCATCGTCTTCTCTGATCAGTCTTTGTAACATTCTCGATTTGTATATAACGCAGACAAGCGAATGAAAGAACAAGCATTTACTCGTACATACAAATATGTGGAAGCCGGCACGTGACTGTTTTTTATAATCACTCATAAATATCTGTAATGTAATGCCCGCGATAGAATTTAGCTGAGGGCTGTAATAAAGAAAAGGCTAAGTTGTACCCACAGAGAATAGAAGAAAGTACATGAACTCTTGAAAGCTGCGGATAAGACGCTATGACCTGTGGCTACTTTTCAAATGACTGGGTTTAAGCGGAAGTACCATGAGTCCGCGCATGCGTGCCTTTCCACTGCAGGTAGTTATTTCTAACTCAATGAGAAATTTCATTGCAGCGTATGGATAGTAGGGACTGTCGACTTTTGCCGGCGACTAATTTTATTTTTCATATTTTTCCTAAAAGGGAGTTCATTAATATTCCGAGCAGGCGCCATTGCGCTAAAAACGTTTAAGCGGCGTATGAAACGACGTCAGCTACCTGCCGGTGGCTACCAAAGCCTCCTCTCTCCATTTATGCGCGACTGCGTGTGCTTGTGTGTGTGTGTGTGTGTCAACTAACACATGCAATGGCACCCCCACTTTGCATACATGTATATAAATATGTAGATATGTATGTGTACCTATGTGCAGTGCTGAGCTGTGCTGTGCTAGCAACGGGTTTTGAAACCGTTTTAAAAAATGTTGTTATGCGTTTTTATTTAAATGTCTCACTAGTGTGAGTGGTGCAACTATCCATTGTTATTGTATCCATATAGTAAAAGCATTCACACACGCATTGACACACACACACACTCCGTACACACACTACACCTAGTACATACATATGTATATGCACAGCCGCGCCACAAATAATTGAAACTTCTTCAATTGTCGTCGCTTTTGGCTCGCGTTTGTTAATTTTTTAGTTGTCCGAGGTGTGGTGCTGAGCTCGCCAGTCGGCTTCAAAATCAGTTGCCAATTAGTCTTCATCGCTGACGGATTACAATTGCCTTTGCCTTGCTTCTTGTTGTTTGTTCACAAGCACAAAAAACTTGTTAAGTGGTTTTCAAATAACAAGAAATTCATTGATAAAAGTGTATTGGACAATGCTATTTTACAATAACAAATTTTAAACTATGACAAAGTGTTATTAATTCTGATGGAAAACCCTTTGTACCTTCGGGTTTTATATTTCAGTGATGTCTGTTAGTGGTGTTATAGTATATGGATTTGGCGCGTATCTGTTGGTGAATTGGCAAGATGTCGGCATAGCTGACGTTTGATAGCGATTTAACCGCGCTATGCTGCATCTAGTCAGTTGGTTCAGCAGAACAATCAGCAAGAATGTGAAGCAAATTGGATATTTTATCATTTCCAGGACCATATTTTAGAAATTCTTATGTATAGGATTTCTTCAATAATAATACTACTTTTAGTTTCTTTCAGAGTATGGAATACCTGGGCACAAACTCTTTATATTAATAAACAGGATTACTCGAGGATTTACAAATCACATACATGGATCCTCAAGGCAGAAGTCATAGAAGGTCGGCCTGTTAGTGCATTATTTGTGCAGTTAAGAAATTGCATACATTAAGTGGAATGTCTTCCATTGCTGTTTAGTTGGTGTTATATTTGTACTTGTAAGAATGTATAAATTAAATTCAGGCTTTTATTTGTTAGAGCTTAATAATAAAACAAAGGGCTTATTGTAAAACCTGAAGGAAGCAGCCAGTACCGGCTATGGATCTGTTACCGCAAAGCCAACAACAACAATAATACTTCTATTCCAGCAAAACATGTTCGATGTTGTTTTTCATCTATTTGATTGCGGATTTAACTAGTTGGAAATTAAAACATGCCATGAGAATTTTGTTTTTATTCGTTCAAGAAAATACGAATGCATGCTATAAATAGCTTAAAAGTGTTATGTTAACAGTCTCAAAGCTTAAATTGGCTGAAAATAAAGATGTTTTATATTGAGTTTATTTGTAAGCTCTCCTCATTTTATTTGAAATCAGTGCTACGATTGGCATCACTGCATTTTGCAATTTTATTGATATTTGGAGACACTGAAACCATTTTTGATGTGTACGCACTGACCATAGTCAGCTGTTAAGTTTTGTTGGCAAACAAAAAGAAAAAATTGCCCATTCGCACCAATTCTTTATAGTTGTTGTTATAAAATACCGCTTAAGTGCGATTCATAAATTTAATCCATTAGCAGTTCAGCAACACACTGGCAAATAATAATTCATATAAATATAATCTCATAAGTGATGGACAGCCAGGTAAGTGTGCGTCGCAATTTTAGACTGCGACTGCCAATTTCATTTCTTTCTGCTCTGGGTGTAGCAATTAGCGCTCCCTATTAATTAGTGTGCCTGACTAGTTATCTGTATATACACATGTACAATAAAGACCATTGTGATAAATGTAAATGAGTGCAAAGTATTTGAAAGAGAGCTATCATGTTACGAGCGTTAGATGGCAGAGCGTGACGTAATCAAACAGGCGGATGTTTGCGCTTATCGGCCTACTCGTATTTTGTCAAATTTTTACCTTGTGAGTGGCGTGTATTCATAGTTTTCTCTTTAGGCACCAATTGATGATCTATTGTTGGACATTGTGGACAATGCTTGGCGCATGGAAGTGCTGCCCTTCGATCAAATATTAGTACCAATTGAAAAGTTACCAGATCCCGAGGCCGATGGTGGGGACTCGCATTTGACTTTGAGTGAGCAGGCAAGTATTTGAAATTGCTCTATTGTTATTAGTAGCGTATTTTATTACGAATCTTTGCAGGAACAAAAGTGGTCAGACTTGGCGCTGGGCTCTCTTGCTCCCGACGCCGCCCTGATTGACCAATTAAATATAACAACCATCTAACCAAGAACAAGTAGCTCTCGTGCGAGCACTTCGCCCACGCTACTAATACCACAAGTGCTGCTAACAACACCACAACATGACTAGTAGCAACAACAACAATAACAATAACACCATACATCAACATTTGCATTCACCTACCAAGCTAACAGAATTCGCACGCAACTTTGAGGACAAACCTGAATCACTTTTTGGACGCGTTGTCAATAAAATACAAAATGTGTACAATCAAAGTTACAACACTGTCAACGATATATCCAGCGGAGGCAGTGGCAGCCAACAGTCAATGCAAATCGGCAAGTCCATGTTTTATGATGAGAGGTCGTCGCCCGCAGCGGAAACTGGTGAGATGACGAGCAACAGCTCTTCGTCTAGTCTTAGCTTGACGCGACCACAGCCACCGACCACTCTGAATTTACCCGCCACAAGCGAAACACGCAGTAATAGTCATTCGACGACCGCAATCGCCGATGACTCGGAAGCAAACGAACATGTCGAAGAGCTGCCCAGCGAAGCCAATCACGGTCGCAGTGTGTCCAATGTGCTGAAGCACATTAGCAACATTGCCTCTTCGAAGAACAACAATGTTAGTATAAATTTTATTATCAATCTCAATGGCGGGCTTATTTCTCTTGTCATTGCAGGAATTGCGTAAGTACAAAAATACGGAGCTCCAGAGTTTCTGGATGCCTGACTCAAAGGCCAAGGAATGCTATGACTGCGCCTTGAAATTCTCAACGTTTCGGCGAAAGCATCACTGTCGCATTTGTGGCCAAATATTCTGTTCTAAGTGCTGCAATCAAGTGGTGCCAGGCACAATAATTCGTTGCGAAGGCGATCTAAAAGTATGCAATTACTGCTCGAAAATTGTTCCCACTTTTCTGAAGAACCCAAACCTAAGTGGGGATCTGCAAGCACAACAGCGGAACCTTACCAACAAATCGGAGGCAAATGACAATGCGCCCGATTGCTCTCCTCTTCTGCAACAACGTGCTCAGCTATCGCGTAAACCATCACTCGGCTATCAGGAGGAGCGGTTTAACTCGCAACATGCCTATACCACGCTGTCTGTGGATGATCGTAAGAACATATTGCAACAGTCGAATTCACTCATTACACTGCATGAGGAGATGCAAAGGAAATTACCCGCCCAAAATTGTGGATTGCACCTGATTGGATTTTTAAATACAAACAATAAGTCTTCCAACAAGGTGCAAGCTGTGGCAATATTAAATGCCATGTTAGCAGCTGGATTCCTGCAGCCCATTGTGCCCGACACAGAACAAACAGAATTTGATGAGAATTTGCATTATAAATTTGCGGACTTGCCGCGTCAAATTCAAGGGGTCATAAAAAGGGACGCCGCCGTACCAAGTAGCCCGCAGTTTGAAGGACCCAGTGTAGAGCCGCAACCTCCTAAGGATGTGTCGCTAAATTTGGCTTTGAATCAGGAACTTGAGCTAGAGAATCAAATGCGATTCACAACCACAAACTCAAAACTGCTGGAATCGTATTGCGATCATGAAGATCAATTGTTGAATCAGCTTCTTCTTGCTCATCAGCTGGATCCTGATTGGGGAAAGGTGCTCCAAACGTTGTGCTCCACAGCCGCCAACAATTTCAAGCCTGAAAATTGCTGCAACGATCTCATGGACATACGCAATTTTGTGAACTTTAAAAAGGTTCCCGGCGGCAAGCGCAAGGACTCCACAATTGTGCATGGCGTGGCCTTCTCCAAGAATGTAGCGCACAAGGATATGGCCACGCATGTAAACAATCCGCGTATTCTACTCCTGCAGTGCCCAATCGTATATGAGCGGATTGAGGGAAAGTTTGTAGGCCTGGACACTGTTCTACTTCAGGAGGAGGAATATCTTCAAAACGTGTGTGCCCGCATTATGAGCTTTCAACCAAATGTGGTGCTAGTCCACAAAAATGTGGCGCGTGTGGCCCAAGATATGCTGCGTTCCGCCGGCGTAACATTGGTGCTGGATGTTAAGCTATCCGTGATGGAGCGTCTGTCACGCACGCTTCAGTGTGACATTGTAAACTCAATTGAGTCAAGCATTACGCTCCCTAAGCTGGGCTACTGCAATGATTTCTATATAAGAAGTTATAATGATGGCCATGGCTCCGTCAAGACTCTGATGTTCTTCGAGAAGCTCAGCAGTTCAAGAGGTTACACATGTCTGCTCCGAGGTGCACACGATTCGGAGCTAAGGCGTGTAAAAAAAGTGGCATCGGCACTGCTTTTCGCACGATATAATTGGCGGCTAGAAATGTCATTTCTGCTCGATGAATTTGCACAACCTTTGGCGCCTAAACCCTCCATATTCGACTCGAAGGATACCAGCCCCAAGTCAGAGAAGGAGCCAACAGCCGATGAGCCCTTGGAGTCCGTGTTGCGGTCAGCTAAGCGTCCAATAACAGAGCGTAAGTCAGAGGATAAAATCATGGCCGCCATTGCCGAGAATGTAGCCGATTTCACGGACCCTTTGCGCTCTACGCATATGACATCGCAACCCACATCGCCTAGCGAGCAAGCTGACGTGGTGGCTCTGGCCGTGGAAACGCGGTACGACAATCGTTTTCGCAATGCCCTGAGCTCCACGCTGCTCTCTGTAAGTCCATTCTCCACATTCCCGCTACCGTATCTAGAAACGGAACAAGGTCGCAAGTGCAAGCTGAGAAAACTTTTCCCAGCCGAGCTGTACTTTTCCAAGCTGTGGTCTCAGAATCAGCCTACTTTGGAGCATCCAGACAGCAGCAATCTGAATGTTGAGCAAAACAACAAGGAGAACAAAGAGCAGTTACTGCCACCACATCCATTCTTAAAGCTTAAGATTACGGAGCCCATTACTAGTCGCGAAATTCAAACGAAATTGGCGGAGTTTCGAGCGTTTGGTGGTCGTTTTGCCAAGGGCAAGAAAAGTGAGTACTTAATATTGTTTATTAAATATTCATTTTAATTTTGAATTTATTTTTAGTGCTGCGACCAAAGAAGAAAGAAGAACCAATACAACGTCCACAGAAGATTAGTGACGATCAACTGTACAAGGACGCATTGGATCCCGAGAATCATCAGCGGCTGCCAGTACTCTTCTGCAGCTTCCATTACAATCCGAAATCGGTATCTTCTTTTTGCAAGCTGCCGATGCTACTAAACATGAAGTTTTATGGTCAACACGACATAATGTTGGGACAATTTTTGCAGCGCTACTGTTGCCTCCTCAATCCCATATGCGCTTCCTGCAAGTTGCCCATGCTGGGCCATGTAAGACGATACGTGCACTCCTTGGGCTGTGTGCATGTCTATCTCACCGAAGACCTAACGCGATCGGATCCAAAAATCATATATTTTACTTCTTGGTGCACCATTTGCAATGCAACAACACCCTCTGTGCCTCTCTCAGAGACATCGAAGTGCCTGTCACTGGCCAAGTACTTGGAAATGCGCTTCCATGGACACGCATACAAGAGACGACCTTTTACTGATGCCAGCGGCAACGAACCAACTAGCCAATGCGAGCATTCACTTCATCGCGACTATGTGCACCATTTTAGTTTTCGGGGCGTCGGTGCAAAGTTTCAATACACGCCAATTGATGTGTGGGAGGTGGGTATGCCCGACTTAAGGCTTGAGCTCGAACCGCCCAAGCGTTTAATTGGACTGGAAGTGCAGGAAGAGATAAAGAACTTCCCTATACGTGGTCACGAGGTCTACACACGCATTCACGAGCGTATCGCCGATCTAGCCAGCGAAGATGAGCAATCGCCGTTGGTGCTTAATCTGAGGACAACGCTGGCAACGGATCAGTTCATATTTAAACAGAAGATCGAAATCGTGCACACCTTGTTAACGGACAGCAAGGCCAGTTCTTACGACATCAACGATGCCATTGTTATGTCCAAGCGCGCCCTGGCCGAGAGCATCGAACTCTGGGGTCCGCGCCTTAATGAGATAGAGAGCGTGGCCTTGAAATTGGCCGGCAAGCAAGCGAATCAAATTGATGCAGGACAAATCTGCACCGAAGAGCTGCGTCCAGAACACTTGGAACCAGTTTCAGCCGGCTCGGATGGCACCAAACCTCCAAATCTGCAATTAGATAGCCACGCGCCTGTCGAATGCCAAGGGGAGGACACAGATATGCCTGGCAGTGCTCTCTCTGTGACTGAAAAGAAGTTCTCTATTGAACAAATGCTAGCTTCCACGGTCAGCACGGACAAGAAGTCGATTAAAAAGATACTGACACAACTGCTGCCATCGACAAATCCGACAAACCTTCTGCAATCGCCCTTCTCTGCCCAGGAACATTTGACTCTGCCCCTTGGCGCCATACCCATAAAAGTACGCGAACAAGACCTCAGCTCTGTTATTGCATATTTCCTGACATCAAAGGATTATCAGCGCGCACTCACGGATCTCAATGCTGGTGAGACCAGCAGCGGTGCCGAAACGGCACATGCTAGCCCACAGATGAAGCGCAAACAGCAGGAAAGCGATGCTGAAGATTCGGCCTCCATTAATACAGCCCACAGCAACAACGCTACAGCCGCCGATGGTGAAGAGCGAGTCAAAACCAAGTCATCCCACACCCACATCTCTCTTAGCTTTAATAACAACGGAACACAGTTCCACTGCAAAATTTACTTTGCCCGCGAATTTGATCTGATGCGGACGAACACCTTGCGACCGCCCAAAGAAGACAACTCGCTGTACAAGAAGCTGGAAAAGAACAAAATGCGCGAGGAGCTTAGAATCTCACAGAGCAGAACGACTGCCGGTGCCGAAATGGAGCTCATACGAAAGCCCAGCGATGCAGTGCGTCCGACGGCATCTCCCAACCGGCGCGATGAGCAAACAGACATGGACGAGTGCCGCATCGCACTAGCCCGTAGTCTCTGTAACAGCGTACAGTGGGAGGCACGCGGTGGCAAGTCCGGGTCGCGCTTTTGCAAAACACTTGGTAAGTATTTTGAAAGAATATTCGGTTAGAATGTGGGAGTGGGGTTTTTGTCAATTTATAGAATGAAAAGAATAGAATAGGAAAGAATGAATGAACGAGAGTAAAGTAGAATAAAATTATATAAATTGTAATAGAATAGAAGAGAAGAGAATATAATAGAATGAAATCAAATCAAATAGAATAAAACAAAAAAGTAATATACAATAAAATTGATTTAATATAATAGAATTAAAGCGTTGTTTCTCATACGAGAAATGAAAGAGGTACGTTAATAGACTTTTAGTTATAATAAGTAATTGATCTACAAATTTATTTTTACACAGATGACCGCTTTGTGCTTAAGGAGATGACGCAAAAGGACATTACAATCTTTCAACAATTCGCTCCCAACTATTTTGAGTACATCAATAAATGCCACCAACAGGAGCAGCCCACATTACTGGCCAAAATCTTTGGTGTCTTCAAAGTAAGCATCAAAAAGAAGGAGTAAGTACGCATCGAAATATTTAAATCTGAACTTACTCAAAATTCTCGCCCTACAGTCACTTTGAGGAAAAATCACTGCTTGTTATGGAAAATCTATTCTATGCGTGCGATATAACGAACAAATTTGATTTGAAGGGCTCTGAACGGAATCGCTTGGTTGATCCCAGCACTCAAATAGGCGAGACCGTATTGCTCGATGAGAATTTGGTGCAAAGTAAGGAACAAATATGCTTTCCAGTGTAGATCAATCGCTCATTTACATTATTTACAGTGTCTTGGTCAAAGCCGCTTTATGTCCTTTCACACAGCAAAGCAGTGCTGAGGGATGCCATAATTAGAGATGCTACGTTCTTGGAAAAGAATGGGGTAATGGATTATTCGCTATTGGTGGGTCTGGATCATAAGAACAGCGTACTCGTCTTGGGCATTATAGGTGAGTGGTTTTTATACCCTGTACCCGTGGGGTAAAAAGGGTATATTCGATTTGTGCAAAGTATGTAACATGCAGAAGGAAGCATCTCCGACCCCATAAAGTATAAATATTCTGAATCAGCATGACGAGAGAAATCGATCTAGACATGTCCGTCCATCTGTCCGTCTGGATGAACGCAAGGATCTCAGAAACTATAAAAGCTGGAACAACCAAAGTTGGTATCTAGATTCTCCTAGGTCCGAGAAAGGACGAGTTTATTTTATTGTTTTGGAATTTTCCCCCCCTTCCCCCGCTACAGGATTTTCAATAGCGTCCATATTTCAAATGCTACCTACACCAAACATAATTTATATATAATTATCTACTTTTGTTCAAAATTTTATTCAATTCTGTCAATTCTAAGAAAAGTTATTAGCGACACAAATTCTCTCCAGTACAACCCCCTAACTGCATAATCAAGTTCGCTCTTCTTCTTCCTCTTTTTGCTTCTGCTATGGGCGCATATACCTCAGTGTCGGAGTTTACCTGGGAACAGGGTATTTCACTGTCGGGCTTGCTCGACTGTAGCGTTCTCCCTTGTTTTTAACCGATTTCAAAAAAGAGGAGGTTATCAATTCGTCTCTATTTTTTTTTTTTTATTATTTACAAATTCTCAAAGTCGTTTAAGGAAAATTCGAGTGTTTTATTTTGTTTGTTACAAATTCCAACGAACTTACTTTTTTTTAAAAAAGCATAATGTAATTAAATTAGAAAATGTTATGAACTCACTCCAGTTTCCGACAAGGCAAAGAAACTCCCCAAGATATACATAATGCCGGAAAAGTATAATTGAGTATCTTCAAAGGTCAGAATTGCCAAAAATATTTAAAATAATTCTTTTGAAAATTATAAATTAAGATTTAAATATAAGTATATATTTTTCCAGTTCAAAAACAACTTTTGGAATGGAAATACCATACAAATCATAACCATTTATAACAACTGGTATTTATTAATTAATTCTTTTCCATTTACAGACTATATACGCACCTTTACATTGGACAAGAAACTCGAATCGTTTGTAAAACAAACGGGCATTCTTGGTGGTAGTGGGAAGCTGCCGACGGTTATATCACCGGAACGTTATAAACAACGTTTCATAGATGCTATGGATCGGTATTTCAACACAGTGCCCGACCGCTGGGAGGGTCTATCGAAATTTTGACATTTAAACTTACTGCGTTAACACTTAACGCGACTTAAGTGATTCAGGAGTGGGCTCAAATTATTTGCACAGGATCACCATTCAATTAACCTTGAATTTCGCATACACATATACTATATACTTAATAAACTACGGCAATAGTTGACCAAACCCACATTTTACTAGCCACCAATACCAATCCATGTCCACGCCCATGCCCATATCAAGGCACTAAAAACGCACTCTTGCTCAAGCCGCACATAAACAAGCCGACATTTCCGCTAACGAATTGATTCAGCCTTGACCCACATGGCCGAACGGCCGGCCGACGCCGTCATTCCTCCTCCCAACAACCAGCCGATGCCGGAAGCCGCCGTTGGTCATGACAATTGAAAGAAATGCACATAAAAGCGTTGCGCGCTGGTATTGCGTGTTGGCCAAAACGTATTACTTGGGGCAACGAAGGGAAACTATTATCATGATGGAACTACCTGTTCTTCGGCTTCAACGTCAAATGTTATAGTTAAGGGCTTAGGAAATAAACCAAATAAGTTTTATGAGCAGCTTGTATTGCCTTATAAACTTCTTTTTATTATCCAAAAATGTTGTTCATGGTGTAAAATAAGTGCGGCGCGTGAAGTGCCAGAAATAGAAATACCCTAAACATTTCATTTTCCCCATCTAGGTCATTGCAGACGCGGAGTTCAAAAGCCTGTCAGCGTCAAATGTGCAATTGAAATGAAATGAATGTGGCAGGTGCGGCAGCTGCAACAAAGCAAATGAAGTGCACTTTTTGGCCATTTAAATGGTGCCAGCACCGACTCGGGACATTTTCAAATTAAACGATGGCATGTAATTGCCGACAACACAGTCCAATAGTTGAAAACTAAAATCATTCCGAGCCCAACCACGACGCCAGAAAGTGATTTATTCAATCGTCTATGTCTTAGAACACACACACACACACAAAGGACACCTTGAACTGGGCCAAGTGACACCTCAGTAAATAGCGCCAAGCTATTGAAACGCGTTGGAGTTGTAGCTTACTCTTACACGCACACCATGCAAATACAGTACAGTAAACACTCGCTTGGACTCACTTTAATTCCTCCTCAGAAACTGCCGATTTTGATAGCTGTTTGGAGGGATTATGTGAGGGTTTTCTACATCTTTTCGACATCTTTTATTGTAATTACTTGACTGGTTCCTTAACACCTCTTGGGCTCATCTATATTCACATTTTTAATTCTATTTTATATCCACTGATTTGTTTGCATGCATTTAAAAATGTTTTCAAAAAATCCAGATTGATTGATTGTTGAGTTGTTTTTACAACCGAGAAACGGGAAATATCATTAGTTTCTTTATAAGTCTAGAAACATATGTACTAAATCAAATCAAAAGATGTTATTTATTTACGTATTTAAATTTCAAATCAATCCAAATCTACTTTGCCCAACTAATTCTGCTTTCAAATGATTTTTATTTAACACGGTTAGAAAATTAAAAATTTTATATATATTTGCACGACTTTATTTCATTTAGCACGATTCAAAGTAATACAGAATAAATAAATAAAAACACACTCAGCTGAAAAATAGCTAGAAACCATTATTATATGTGATTTAATAAAATAAACATAATTCCTTGCTTTTTCACTGATTTTTGTAGGTTTTAGAGATCAAGAATGATCAATGTCCTTTTTTACACGACTTTTTCTGGAACCAATCTACCGTGTTAAAACATAATTAGTTGTACCTCTTTTCTAGTCGTTATGATATTCTTCTTGCTTGACGATCAATTCCATAGATACATAGTTCTGACGCCTGTCAAATATAATCACATTGACTATAATATTTAAAGATACGGATAAAGTGGCTTTCCCTAACTACTTCGTTTGAGAAGCTCGGAGAAAGGACGTATTTTAAATTTATTCGTAATAATCAGATTATAAAACAAGAAGGGAATGCTAAAGTCGAGCAGGCTCAACTCTTAAATACCCTGTACCACCCCACAAAAAAATAAATTAATTTAATTTAATTAATTAATTAATTTAATTTAATTAAATATGTACTAAATCGGGGAAACATTAACAAACTCGTCCTTTCTCGGGCTCAGGAGAATCTGTATACCAAGTTTGGTTATTCTAGCTCTTAAACTTTCTGAGATCCTTGCGTTCATACAGACGGACGGACAGACGGACATGGCTATATCGACTCGTCTTCTCATCCTGATCAAGAATATATATACTTTGTGGGGTCTGCCACGCCTCCTTCTGCCTGTTACATACATTCGCACAAAACTAGTATACTCTCACCCTTTGGGTACAGGGTATAATGAATATGTTATATATGCGGTGGTATTTACTAACCTGTCTGTTGGAAGGCTCCTTAGAGCATTCACTGTACATTTTGCAGAGCCTTTTTCCCTTTGGCGAGGCTTGGCGTGTGAAAACAGAGTGGCAGTTTGTAGGACGCGTGCCGCCTAACTCAGTTGAGAGTTACGATCTAAGCAGTGCGGTCAAGCTATTTGGGGCGAATGCGCTTCAATGTTCGGATTAAATTGACCGGCGACGGGTCTTATTAAAAATGCGTTCACACGCCTTTAAGATTTGTGGCTGCCTTTTGGAGTTGGCCCTTAATAAAAGCAAAATGAAAGTAAAACGTACAAGATGTTCGCTATGTTTCCTTTATTGTGTTTTAAGGTGTTAAATGAAAAATAATCGTGAAAGCTATAAAATGACTACGTTTGATTGGAAAACCATCGACGGGTGCGTTTAAGAATTAAACTGAGCAAAAGTTGTTATGGGATTGAACCAACTGCAGGGTTTTCCCCTCTATAAATAACTGCACCTGCATACGCGTATGGATTTTCGCTATTTTTATTTGCCACACACAGTATGTGTTGCAAAACATGTGTTGACGCCATGGCCTTGACAATTGCCAGTGCCACAAAATGTAAACATAATGGCGCAGTCTTGTGCTATACTCGTATGTATGTCACATTATATAGTACTTATATTGTGGTGTATGGCGTGACTTGTGGATGTAAACAGCAATTAAGACACCATAAATCTTCATAATTTGTATGTAATTGTGTGTACCAACATATAAATGATTAGCATATTTAAATGGGTTACGTTACGCTGGTCTCTGAATGGAAATGAAAATCATTGGCTTAGGTCATTTGTTACAGCAGAAAGATTAAGCAACAGTGCCAGCACATTAAAGAAACCAACAACACACACAGACACACACACACTTACTACTAAGTCCGCGCAGTACATGAGCTACCTCTTTTTTCGTTGCATACTTTTGTGCGCCAATTCGGGTCAGCCACTGCTTTCTATTTATTGTTTTTATTGCCACTGCGCTCAACATGAGTTGCTCGTCTCCCAATTTAGTTCACGAACTTAAGGCTATGCATGTAATTGTCTGTAGGCTTGTGTGTGTGTGTGTGTGTGTGCAGGTGTGTCCCGTTTCCGCCGATTTGCCGCAATGCAAGCCTTTGCACGCACACCTGCCCCCGAAATGAACTGACAGTCCAGAGACGGCAGGAGGAATTTTTACTTTCTTTTTTCTTTTTGCACTGATAGCATACATGCAAAGCGATATGACTTGAATAAAATATGACTTATGGTCATATGCAGATTGGACTTCAAGTTTTCCCTTATTTATAGACACAAAAAAAAAAAAAACGTAATGGGAAAGGAATGAAGATTGTACAAATGCCAACCTATGCATATTCAAATGCCATATGTCGTCGCTACTTATTACCATATTCAGTCACAAGAAACTTTAAAAATAACTTTTACCAGCGCTCTAAAACGAAAACCTGCCGAGGCTTATTAAATATGCGAAACAACTCAATAAATTTTCAAGTGCAACAGGTGTGTGTTCAGGTATGCATTTCATAAAGTGTGAAGGAATTTCATATGGGGTACAAATTTATCATTTGTGCACACACACACACAGCCCACTGCCCTGATATTATTTAAGGGTTATATAGTATGTCTCCTATATATTTGCGTTTGGGTTCAATAAAATAACGAAAAAACAGTTGCCACCTCTTGAACTGTTCCTTGTTTATTGAACCCACAACAGTTGTTAGGGAACCGAACAGGGAATGCATTTGGCAACTATTGATTGAATTCGATTTCGCAAAGACAGGATTGCATGATATAGCATTGTGTCTGCCTTTGAATCAATTCAAAGGGACAATTTTCTAATTTGGCGCAATTTCTATTAGATTTGTTTATGTCTATGTATGCCTAGCAACATAAATATGTGTGGGTGTATCAGCTAATGTGTGTTTGTGTATTCCTGGCACGCCTTGCGAATGCTTTTACTGAATATAATGCCAGCGAATTTTTGACGTGTGGCCCTCACGACACGGCCTGTTATTCATAAGGCGCCATTTTCTTTCCATCAGAGCGCGCTGTCGTCTTCGTCATGGTATGTTTGTGTTGTTGTTCTTGCTACAAGTTTGCCATTATTAGCACGCTTCCCTGTTATTTACTGCCAAAGCAACCGCGTCTGTTGTTCAGTTGTAAACGTAGCGAACGATTGAAAGGTTCAGAATTCGAGCATAGCATACTTTTTGGGGTCGCTGGAAAAATCATCCATTTTCTGATTAGCACATACGACTCTGCCCTTGCAGCGCCAGCTTGAACTGGAATCGTTCCTTCTCCGAGCCCGACCTAACCAGCCAACAGCCACACAGCAATCGCTTCACCATAAAACACCCTCACGAGTATATAGCCGTAGATGATCTGAAATATTTCCGACGCCGCCAACCCGTTCACTCCAACTACCACAGCAACATCTGCCTCTATAATAGCGATGAGCCAGTCCTTCCCTTTGGATCTCTTAAAAGTGAATACACAAAGCACTTCCGTGCCTTTGCACCTAGCCTAAGGCCAGCTCTGTTGAGACGCGCGACCTCGTTGCGTCTGGAGGGCTTAATGCAGCTGCTTTCGGAGCATCAGGACAAGTATCATTGGTACACGCCCGAGGACTTGCAATTGTAAGTAGCCATTCCAATATTAAAAACAATTGTAATATACAATATAATATGCAATATATTCCAAAATCAAACTTATCTTAAGCGCAAAAAATAAATCAAAGTCAATTAGACCTTACCTTACACAGTATATAAAATTATACTATATTCGATCTAACGCGCGCCTTTTATTATTTATATTTTAAATTGTAAATAGCTTTAAGTAAATTGAAAGAATGCATAAGACCTAATATGTAAAAGGGTATTCTGGCTTAATCCGAGAGGCAAGAGGAGGCGTATTGTACATATTTGACAACACTGAAAGCTATAGCCACGTCCATCTGTCCGTCTGCTCCAGGAAGATGAAGTTTGTGTTTTTTTCCTGATGCACATCACTCCCTCGTCAGCTTTCATATGGTTTTCCATAACTTCCGTAATTCTTGGAGTTCGTACACCCTGAAAGGGTTTACTGCTTTTGTGCGAATGTGTGTAACACACAGAAGGAGGCGTGTCAGACACCCCAATGTATATATACAAGTATTCTTGATCAGTAGGACAACACGCATAGTTACGATTCTGATGGAAATTATTCTGTTGAAACTGCATATAAACAGTTTTGTATGTATGTATTGAATATATTGTATTAGTTTAATAAATTAATTAGATTAAGGTTTTTTTTAAATTAATTAAACAATTTTAAAAAGTTGTTTTCCTTTTTTTGTAGGAGTGGTTAAATGGTATTTAAGAGTTGAGCCCGCTCGACTCTAGTATTCCTTTCATGTTTATAATTACATCCGGTTACCTATTACGTGAATTTGAAAATATTTTGCTAATAGTTTTTTTTTTTTTTGTGGGAGTGGGAGCTGCAGGGTATTTAAGAGTTGGGTACAAAGTACTCTTTCTAGTTTGCTCAACTGAATTATTCTCTTTTTTTTAAATCGTTTATCGGTGATTAGTCACAAATTAGAACAGAAACTGTAAGTGTTTTAATTTTATTAAATGGAGTTTATTATTTAAAATAAATTTATTTCTGTTTTTCTGCTTTTATTATTTATATCTTTTTGTTAGGTCTAATATTTATCTCTGAATATTTTATTCAGTGAATCGATGCAGATGAGCAAATAAAAGTAAGTTTATACGTTGTATAAATAAACGAAATGTAAAGATGCAGGAACTGAACAAATCCCTGATTAATGTACATAAATAAAATCTGTATATCAACTGCTAAACTTATATTATTAGTTTATTGTGTCCGCTGGGTGCAATTTGCGTTAAATACCGCAATATTAGGCCAAAAAACTTCATTGGTTTCATATAAGCCAATTAGTCCTTTAGCATACAAGAAATAATTAGACAACCATGCTTTTAAATAAATTAATAGCAAATAAAAACTTTAATCATGTATTTATTTATTTACAAAAATTGAATTCCAAGTGATACTCTGTATACTTTTTTGCAGCTCACGAACTTTTCCAGTTCGCAATCCGGAGAACTTTCAACTTGGCGCCGACGCTGACGGTGGGGGAAACGGTGCGATGAAAAATTCCTCCTACCTCACATATCCTATGCTGAATACCAAAGCCAAGATAATGCTGCCTCGTGAAATGTTTGCTGAGGACAATGCGTTTACGCAGCGACGAGGCTCAGTGGCCCCATCCAATCGAGAGACCCCACAACCGCAGGAGCGTCAACAGCAGCAGCAAAAGCAGGGAGCAGTGAGCAAGCCTGCGTCGGACCAGTTTAAGCGGAACCTGGCTGTTCAGGAACAACACAAATGTCACCTGCAAATGCGAGCCCAGGCTGTGGAACAGGAGCCCATACCGTCCGAATACAAAAGGCAGTATGTTCAGTTTCCGATTGAAAAAGCGCACTCGATTCCGCAAATGAGCAGCATCAAGATACAGGGCGATTTCGTAGCTGTGCCGGAGTATCAGGATAGCTTTAAGATGTATGCCAACTATTCGAAGAGTGCGCCCATTAAGAAGCACGACAATCTGCGAATGTCCGGCGCCGAAGTAGAAGCCCAACCGCACGAGTATAGTAAAGATTTGCCAGAGTACAGAGACAAATTCAATGACCCACCCAAGCACATGGCCAAAGAGAAACCCTTAAAAACCGATGATCATTTGCATCCCCGTGGCGAGTTCAGCAAAGATGTGCCCGAATATTACGAGAGCTTCCGTGACCCACAGGTCAAAGAGATGCCCGAGCGTGGAAAGTGTCGGGAACCCTACTTGCGCCTTCGCGGCAAAATCGAATTTAATCCCGAGTATCGCAACACCTATTTGGACTTTCCGCGCTCGCGTCCCATTGTGCGCAAGCCGGCCTCTTCGTTCCGCTTGCCCACATCCGGCATACCTGGTGCGCCAGCCAATGGCACCAGCTCCAGCTTGACGGACAACCAGGCGCAAAGCTGTCGTGGACAGCAGGACTCAAGCTATGACCATATGGAACTGCCCAGCTGCACCACAGCCACCGACATGACTGCCACCCCGGAGTACAGGCGGGCTAATTATAACTATCAGCTGCGCGAACGGACACCCACACGAAAGCTACAGGAGAGCGATGGCGGCGGAAACAGCAAGCTGGTCACGAGCAACCTGCGCAAGAGCTCGGACTCATCGCTGGAGACCCGTCAGGCAGTCACATATAAGAGACGCACTTCACGCCCACGTCAAGTCAAGGACCAGCCCAACGTGCCCAATTTTGAAGAGGTTGGAGGTAATGCGGCCAAGAAACCAGCGAGGTTTGGACGACGGGCTTCCGTATTGCAGAATGCGGCCAATTGCCGAGAGAATTCTTCGATAATTGAAGGTAATCCCAAGTATGCTGTGGGTAGTCGACGCGCTAAGCATAAAATTGAGAACCAACAAGGCTCCTTCGTGGTACTCGATGAACCGTGTAAGCCTTCCAATTGGATGAAAAAATCCTGGTATGATTCTTAGAATAGATGTGTAATTATGCATTAGTTCCTTTAAAATATGCATACTTGAATAAAATTGATAAAATGAAAACTACTTCCTAATTTCCAAAAAGCTCATTATAAACAAGAATGGAATGCTAGAAGGGATGCTAGCCATAAACATTTTAAAACAATAATATAAATGAATTTTAATGCATTTTTATTAATTTTTTTTAAGGATTTTAACCATTAAGATATAAATGGGAATAAGACTTAAAAATTAAAACTCTTGTTTCTAGAAAAACACTTTAAAAGTCGAGCTAGTTAACTTCAATTTGTATTTTTTATTTTGTCTCTTTTTTAAGTTTTGAGGTAATTGCTGACATTTTTTGTGAGTGTATAGCATCTGTTTTTTTTTATATTCAGGCCCAAAAAGCTTATGTTTTTATGTTTAAACAACATTGATGACGTTTTTTTTTTTGGCAGATAAGAATAAATATAAACAAACTTCGCTTTTTCACCACGACCACGGCTAGGCCAACCCTTATCTTATCTGGTCCGTAAGCACACCCATTGATAAGTATTTCGAAGAGTGATGCGAAATAGTGTCGCTTACTCATGGGTCACATCGCAGTCGACATTCCAGTAATACAAGAAATTTCGCAATTGAAAGATGTAGAGGAGGAACGCTGTGGCAGCATAAAGCAGATAAAATTACTCATTATTTACCGAAAGCGGTATGGAAGTCAACAATGCAGCAATTCCCCCGCCTCACATTCTCGGCTACACGATACGCAGCCGCACTCGCATCTATGTGTCCTACATTGTGCCGACCAGTTTAGCCTTGTTAGTCTATATTGTGCAAACTTCAGCGGATCTGGCCCTGAGCTATCAACACTTCCGGACGAAAGAGCCGGGCTTTGGTGCAGGAACCTTGATTGTTGTGCTTCTACCAGCCATACTTACCTTTATCTTGGTGCTCAGCTCCAAAGAGCAGCGAACAAATGTGGCAGGAAGTCGAAGTACATTTTGGGGACTTCACGTACTGCAGCTGTTGCTTTTCCCATTTTTTGTTGTATATAGGTAGGTAGTGTTTTACATATGAAGACTTTTTTGTTGGCAACTCACATTTCAACGATAAGATTCACACTGCGCCTGTTCTGGGCCATCGACGCATTGTTCCATGATGATGATGATACCGAGCGTATGAAAAGCCTGGCCAAGGCAACAAAAACGTCCAGTATCGAGCTGTACCTGCTCATACAGGCCTATGCACAGGCAGCGCCTCAGATAATCCTGCAGTTGTATAACATGCTGGCACAGGATATGTTTCGCAACTACGAGACCTGTAAGTAGTTATACAAATATTTTAACTTACCCAACTCCCTAAGATTGTAAATTGTAGCCGCCGTTCAGGCCCTATCATTGATCTTCTCGGCAATCAATTTGGCGGCCATAACAACAAGCTATCATCGCATCGAGAGTCAGCGACGCGTTGGGCGGCATTATCCTTGGGCCACCAAGCGGCAAGTAGATGCACATCAGTCAATGCTGGAACAAAATGAGCGCATCTGCAAGGAGGCAGCTGAGCGGAAAAAGCGCGACTCGGAGCGAACTATTACCAGCTTTCCAGAGTCTGAAAAAATTATGGCTAATTTCCATGCGCGGCATGAAGCAACAGCTGAAGGCGAAAAACGCCATGAACTACACATTCAGGGCATGGATGAGGTGGACAACGATGCTGCAGAGCAGCAGGAGACAAAGGTCCTCCTACACACTCCCTCGAGCCAGAGCCATGGTAATATCACTGATGATGATAAAATTGAAAACACCAGACCCAAATTACGACTACACCGCGAAGAGCTTGGCAATCTGGATAGCATAGAAATACTCGACACTGTACCAGAAACGCCACCGCCCAGACCACCGCCTGCTACAGCCCCGCCAACATTGCCAGTATTAAGAAGTGCAGACATCGGAGCAGCGGACTTAAGACGGACTATGTCGGATAACGACAGTCGACGCAGTCGTCGAATGAATCGACCACTCTCCCAGCTCGAGACATTTAAGGATATGCTGCTGGTCAACGCTCAGCTCTATATTAAAGAAAACGTGCCACGCCCCCCAAAAATGCTCACAACACGCGTCGATAAAGAGCCAACTGACGAACACACTCCCCTAGTCCAGCAATCACCAGCCCCTCAAACACCCAATTCCCAAAAAGCATCGCCGCTCACGCCCAAAGATGTTGTGGACTTTTATTTTCCACGTCCTACAAAAATTGTCAATGGAATACAACAGGACGACTTTGCGGGCCGATCTGTTGCCTTCTTTGGCTGGATGGCTTTCATTATAATGCGAATGCTGTCGTTAGCCACTTTCTGCATCTTCTACCCAAAGGCTTTCTTCATAATTGTGGGCGTCCATTACGCCCTAATGATCGGTGCTTTGGGCTTCGAATCCCGCTTCCGGGGCACCTGGAATCGGACGCTTTTCTATCTTCTGCTCGCCTACATCTACATTTTCGTTCTTCTCGAGTTCCGTGTGTGCTTCAAGCGCATAAGATTGTGGTACACTAGTTATTTGATCCTAACGCTTGCGGAGAATATATCCATGACGGCCATTTGGTATAATAATGCAGATTTTGAGTCCTGGTGGTTCGGATTTATCTGGGAGTGGATTATCTACAGTGGTGTCCTATTTTTAGCCACAATCATTGTATATTATTTCATACTGCGGCCCAAAGAAGTAGCGCTAATCGTCGAGGATGAAGCGCAGGCGCAGTCTCAAACTGACACCCCATCGATTGCCTGAAGTTACATTCGTTGCCAGGGGCTGACAATTTTGTTTTTATTTAGTTCTAGGCCACACAGCAGGCATTTACAATTTTATATTAAAAATACACACTCAACAATAAATTATTTCCGTACTCGAGTACACTTCACAAATACCTATTAGAAAAATGCACGAAGGCAACGAAGAGGAGCTTGGAGGTGGCCGTGGTGAAGACCACAGAGAAGGCCGGGAAATGACGGATTGTCCGAAGGGGCTAACTGAAATGAAATATAGTTATAATGTGCCGAAAATCAAGAAGAAATTGAGTAAGAAAAAGCTCATATCAATGGAGAGAATTTCTATATCTTATTCTTCTCTGCCTTCCCCCAGCCACTCGTGCCAACCGAATGGAACAGTTTTTGTGGAAAGAGTTTTATGACGAGTACATTCGTCAAAATTCCATACCGATGGTGGAGCCAAAGCACAGCACAGAATATAACGATCAATATTGCAAGGAAATACCGAGCGATGATGTGGAGAAAAAGGAGGTGTTGGCCAATAAATATCCGGTCTATTGCACAACGGCCATTACTTTGTGGAATCACGAAGGCGACGTTACAAAGACGTTCAAGAAAAAGTACTCAATAACACGGCCAATAGCAGAGTGCTCAGAAAAGTTTGCTCCATAGAATTCACAGCCAATAATAATTGCATTAGCAAAAGTAGCAGTAACGCAACTCAAATATTTCGTCAGCATTAGGAATATATTTAACATAAATTAGAACAAAAACGAATACAATAGCACTAAACAGTTTAAAGACAAGAGGTGAAGGAATTCTAGGTGCATCATAGACGAGCCTATGAAAATATAACGTTTTTGTTTTGTTTTTAGTTTTTTCTGCATGAGTAATGCATAAGTTTGTGTTAACGAATAAAAATTAGTGTTAAATAATGAGTTAGATATTTTCATTCAGTTCAGTTTATTTCAATACTTGCCCACAGCTTTCATCCCGGGAATTTATAATTCTTCAAATAACAATTGAAGATCCATATTCATCTACATTAAAGTGCAGTTAATGTTTTATAGAGTTTTGATATTTTGTTATTGCTTTTGCAAACTGATTTTTGCACTGTACTTATTTAAATTGGTCGTTTTTTCCATTGTGTTTTGATATTGGAAATCGAAATGACGTTACTTAATATCATATGTTAGTGCAGTAAATTATCGATAAAATTGAACTTTAAAGGCAAGTGCTCGGCAATTTCAGTGTTGGAAGGTGGTCATATGCGCTGACGTGTCTGCACTGTCGATGAGAAAATTGGCCGAAAACGAATCAAGCGGTGCTAGTGCGGGCTATTTAATCACTTATTATTTCTTTTCCTAGCCCTTAAAAGTCGTTTAAGTACACAGGAACCAAAATAGTAAAATGTTCAAACTAGGTAAGTTTCAATTGAATGCACAGTAACCTCCCCCAAATACAAGGGACTTACGCCGGCATACGCGTGTGTCGGTGTGTTGCTTTTGCCGGCGTCGTCATACATACATAGATATCTTCATTTACATATGTATGTGTGTATAGATTAAGATAATCTGTGGTCAATAAAAACATTGCCAGTAAAACATTAATTATTTTTAAAATATGATCGCAGGTTTGCCAATATTTTGTGTGCTGGCATTTGCTTGTGCACCGACGTGGAGTGCGCGCACAGTTCACAGCCACCTGGGTCCGAAAGACCTCACCCGCCTACAGAAAGTTTTCGCCGATGGGCTGAGTTCCACAGACCTGCAAGCAATTTACTTTGCCAGCCTCAATCTTGAAACGACCGATGCTGCACTTAAGGATGCGCTATGCAAAAAAATCGTCACCCTGCATGCAGAGTCGAAACTGAACGTAAGTAAAATGCCAAATTACCTGACAAACAATAATTCTAATTATTCTTCTTATTGCAGAGTTTTGAGAAAGACTTCTATTTGATTGGTGCCAACACGAATTTGCGCTGTACGTCCAAAATAGATGAGGGCATACTGGCCAAGGTTTATAAAGCATTTGATTCGGAATTGGGCAGCACCCAGGAGATATTCTATCGCGTCTACACACATAAGGTAGTTGGTGTGCAGATTAATGATGCGGCCAAGGCGAAAATTGCAAAGCGTCTACAGGAATTGTTGAAGAAGGATGATACTCTTGCTGGACTGGGATATGCGTTTAATGTGGCCGTGGAATTGGGCGAAAGTGGTGCTTTTGTGGCTAACCGCGTCGAAGACGCTATTGTGCAGGCAGATGAAGTTGATGGCAAGCTACTACAATTCGAGGGCGGCCTAAGCATCACAGCTTTGATTATCAACGGCGCATTTGGCGTGACCAAGGCTTATAACAAACCAGCACCAATTACTGCTGAGCAGGCTGTGAAATTCGCCAATTATTTCCTAAGCCGTCGTTCGGTTCAGACCGCCAAAGGAGCACATGTGTTAATTGAAGCACTAAAGACGATTAGTGGCTCTGGAAAGGTTACACCCATCTGTGTACAACTAATTGGCAATGCGCAACTTGAAGCGCAGTCGCCTACATTGAATGTAGCAGTAGTCGATTTGCTTGGGAAGGCTCTGTCGCCAGCTGTACAAAACATCGAAGCAAAGATTCTCCTCAAAAAGGATAACTCTGTCTTGGCGGATAAGGTAAAACTCACCTCTAAATCGTCGGACAGAACGACGTTCGTTGCTGATCTGGGGAGCTATAAACCAGTTCGTGGCATTTATCAAGCCGAATTGAATGTGGATGGCTTGTACAAGCAGCAATTGCAATTTAAAGTTCTCGGCCGAGTCAAAGTGCAGAGTTTGGAGATAGGCGTTGCCGAATCAGATGCCAGTGCATCCACACGCAAGCAAAGCGTCACCTATCCCAATAAGTTGAAGGATTCACTGTCAGCAGACAGCACGCAGAAGTTGCTACTGAAGACATTGCTGGTGGACGAGAGCAATAACAAACCCATCGCTGTACAACAAGCGTTCGTACGTTTGTACAACAAGGCCACAGGCAAGGAGGTCATTTTTATAGCAGAGCAAGACAGCAGCAAGGCCTATAAATTCGACATGGATGTGGGTAACAATGGAAAGAACTTCAACTACAATAGTGGAACCTACAACCTCTATTTGACCGTTGGTGATGCTTCGCTCTCCAACTCCTTCGAGTGGCTTGTAGCTGATGTGCAACTGAAATTTAATCAGGACGGAAAAGGTACGAGTTGTTATTAACGAATAAAACCCAATATGTCCAACTTATTCGTTTATATTCCATAGATACCAAGTCGAAGACTGTCAGAGGCCCTTTACCTGAGATCGTGCATCAATTTAGGGTTCCCGAAAAGCGTCCTCCTCGCCTTGTGTCCGACATATTCACTGGCCTGTGTATAACACCGCTTGTGCTGCTATTTGTTTTCTGGGGAAAACTGGGGATCAATGTGTCAAACTTCTCAGTGGCGCTCAGCACAGTCGGTTTTCATGTGGGTTTCGGCGGCATCCTGGCGTTGTTCTTTGTTTTCTGGCTGCAGCTAAACATGTTCCAAACTCTGCGCCTGCTTGTACCAATCGCAGTATTCACATTCCTCACAGGCAACCGCTTGCTGCGACGTATCCATGCACAACGCACCGCCAAGAATGCATCATAAATGCCATCACATGATTCGTCGTCTATCATTCGAAATAAGTTGGAAGTGCATTTTGTATGTATGTTGCATTATCCGCAACCGACTGCAGATCTAAATAAATGAGTTATCTCTATGTATTTACTAGTAGATCAACATATAATATTGCAATTATATTTAAAGCTAGGCAATGCTATGTATTTACAAGATATAGACAATAGTAACAAGTTACGGAATTGAATTGTTGAGCCAATGCGAGAGTTCTACAAGTGCGCTTTCATAAACGGCTTCAAATACTTGTGGAATGAGGCATTCACTGGCTCCTTATTAAGTGGATTCTTCTTTGCCGACTCGAATATATGATCGTAGACATTGCCATCGTATGCGCCCAGTGCCGAGTCCAAGACACGATCGTGCAAATCGAAGCTGTCCACCAGGGCAACTGCATTTGGACGTAAACTTTTCAGGCAACTCTCCAAACGCAGCTCCAGCTTGCTGACATCATCATCCGTTAAGTCGATAAACTACAATATAAATAATAAATTTAAAATAACCTCAAATAGTATATTTAGAAGATCACGCACGCGCAAGAAGTTGCCAATGCGATTAAGACAGGCATCGATCAGATACAGCTCCAGCACAACCTTTAGGACATCAGCCAAGGCTGGTGAAACCGCGCGTGACACAGCGAGTATTTCATTATAGGCCGATTGCGCCAGAAAGGCACGTCCATGGAGCTGCAATGAAATTGTAGTGATATAAGTCGTGTGTCTTTAAAAGTTAAATTTCACTTACATCTGCCGCTTGCGTTAGTTCTATTCCACATAAATTGGCAGCCACCTCGGCGCTATGTCCTTGACGGCGTCGTTGTTCGATGCGTTCGTAGGCGATGCGCACTTTGCTGTTGGTTGTAATTTAAAGTGTAAGCAATTAGAGGTTTGCATAAAAGCTGAACGTGGAAAAATTACATTAGCTGACAATTTGAAAATGCTTTAACCCGAATGATAAATTTATTGAATGACTATTATTCTTTGTGTGAACTCACTTGGCTGCCACATAATGGAAAGCTCTGACAATGCACTCCAACGATCCATCGAAATTCACAAACTGTCTTTCCTTTAAAAAATCGTTGATGTACGCCACAGTAGGCACCAGCTTCTCGCCATTCAATGCCTGGCCATAGACTTTGACCAAATATCGTGCAGTTTGCAGCAGCATTACCGTATTTTCGCCCTCGTATGTGCACACAGCCGTAGTCATACCATAAATGGTCGGAAAATTTGAGACTTCCAAAAATCCGTGACCCCCACAGGCCAAACGAGAGGTCTCAACGCCCGCAGCAGCATCGGCGCTACAGATGGCCTTCAAACAGCACGAAAGAGCGTGCATTTCGGGCAGACGATCCAGATTTCCTTGCTCGATTTCGCCCGATAGCACATTGTACATATTCCATATGCCATCGCCGGTTGCCTTAAACACAATCGCCTTGGCTATTTGGGGAAATAGTTTTAGCTGTTGTGTGGTATGGTCCATGATCTGTGGTTCTGGCTGATTCGGATCAATGGGGCTTTGACGTCGCACCGCCGCATACCGCGTCGCAATAGTGGATGCCTTGGCTAAGCTCTGTGCTGTGTCCCTAATAAGCGCACAACGCACAAACATCATAGTTCCATAGGTAAGTACACTGTTCTTAGGCGCCACATAAGTGCCATCGGGCAGCACCTGCTGGTTCTTCATCAGCATATTCTTAAGTGGCACGCGCACATTCTTTAATCCCAAATAGCCATTGTTCACTGCCTTCATACCTAATTTTGTACCAATGTCGCCAATGTCTATGCCTGGCAGCGGTTCATGCGTATCCGAGTGACGAAGTTGCACGATGAATGGCGCCAAGCCACGGAACTCCCCTTTCGTGTATAATTGTGCAACAACGACTGCGTGATTCGCTGTGTGGCCCACTGAAAATGGTAAGGGAATGTTATAAAATAAACATTATCGGGGTCAGTAAGTACTTACAGCCTCCGGGCCACCATTTGTAGGCGGTAATTGTTGGCGAATTGATGACAAACTCTTGTGTCTTCTCATCATAGTCAGCGCGTGTCTCCAAGCCACGCAGGAATGTGCCGTGTCCCAGTTCGGTTTGTGCATAGGTGCCAATTATTTCACAGTCCCAGGCTTTGCTCAGCCATTCCACTTGCTGCTCCATGGTTCCCTGTCCCATAATCGTGGGCACAAACATTACATAATGAAGGGTTAAGGGATTTCCTTCCTTCAGAATAGCCGCGCCAAGTGAGCCGCCCAGCAATGCGCTATTCAAATTAGAATGAGTTTCGACAATAACAGAAATATTTCTATGCACCCTCACTTGTAGGTATCCACGCCATCTTCCCCTTCAGCGCGCAACTTCCTGATCTTCTCACCAATTACACAAGCCTTGCGCAGACTGTGCTCGTAAAGCTCTTTGTGAGACAAATATGATATGGGTAGATCATCTTTCAATTCTGGATCGTCCAGAAACATTTTCTCTAAAAATAAGTTATGTACATTTCAGAATGTATTAGTATGTACTATAATAAAAGTAATTAAAATCCTAAGAATGTATTGGTACATGTGTACTATAATAATGTAATATACACTTAGTTTTATTTTATTTTAGAAATAGTACATGTGTATCTGAATTAAAATCGTAACCATCCACTCATGCAATATACACAATACAACTAAAAACTCATGCTCAACTATAAAATTAGACACAACTCACTAACTTTAGTCGCAATTGATTTTACCATATATGTATAAAGTATATTAATATGGAATGGGTTTCTCTTTTAAAAATGGTGAATATACATATATAGAATGATATATGTAGGGCTGTAAAAGTATTTAATAAGTGTCATAAATAAATAAATGCTTTTTGAAGCTGCAAATCTTATAGCTATGTACATACATATGTTGTAGGGTGCTGGTGCGGTGAAGGTCACTACTATAGTACCCCCATAGGTACACTCTTGTTGGTCTTCCAATCAGTATTGTTTAACATTGTTACCAGCAGTGTTAGTTGCTATAATTAGCATTCGACAAAGCGATTAGCCCTAATCTGCCAGATAAAGGCAGCAATATTAGCGATTTGCGAAAGTAGTGGAATGTCCACAAGTGCAATGTAATGCTACAAATAACTTTATCACCTTAACTACAATAAGCTCAGCTTTACTTGCGAATGCGTCATATCAGTTCAAAGTTCGATCAAAGTTTAAAAGCTAAATGGCTGCGAGCACCGACGCTATAGTTTGCTTAGTACGGAAGCCCGACCGGTTTATGCCGCCGAATTGTGAAAAATTTATGCGTATAGTATTTTTCAATCTTTGCATATATATAATTAACATTTGAGTTAATGAATGGGCAGCCAAAGAAGCGATGAATCAAAACAAAACTGATGGGAAGTGCCGGCGGCTATTGTAATCAGTCGCTTCCAACCATTTACATATGCATTTCTTTTGGGTAGAAATAACAATACAATACCCCACTTCTTGGTGATAAGCAACGTTACACTTTAAATGTTTGTAAATTGTAAGAATACAATTTAGTAGTGTAAGTAGGGCCACAATCTATTATTCCCGTTAATTGTTGGCATATTTGCGACGCCTAAGCCACGTTTAGTGATTTGCACTGTCACGCTATTGGGGCAACTAATTGCAAAATGCGAATGCGCCAAGCGTTTTTCTGGCTAACAACCAGTTAATGGCAGACGATCTGGCGGGGTAGCGGTATACATTAGCACGAACGTATGTATGTACATATGTATGTGTGTTTGTATGTATGTGTGCATATACATATTTTAAAGTGAAAAAAGTAACTTACCCAAGGCCTTCTTTTGTTCATACTGTGCTGGGCCACCAGCCCACCAAACTGAGAACTCATTTGGATTAAAAGAGGCCGTGTTTCGCTCCTTTTGTAGGTCAGGATTAATTTCTTGTACTGGCATTGTAAAAAGTACTTTTTTTTAACAAACTTGATCCAAAGTGCAGTTTTATAAAACAGGTCTCAATAACTTCAAACACACAGTCACTTCCAAATACCCGACCGTCTTTAACGGTTGGTTCGCACTAACTGAAGAAACAACGAACGAGTACTTGTCCGTGCGAGCAGAAAGCCAAGATTAGTTATTAGTTGTTCGAGTCGAGTATGTCGAAATCTAATCGCCAACTGCGTCTTGTTGTTGTTAATGGATTTGTAGATGAACTTTAGCCGCTTGTACGATGTAGAAAACAGACATATGTACGCAGCAATCAGTTTATGTGCGCTTGTGTGTGGGCTTTAGCTACGTATTTCTATAATCAATATTATTGTTGTTGTTGTTGCTATAGCGCGAATAAAAGCAACTTGCTTTTGCTGTAATGTCAAAATCAGCTGTTAGTTGTGAAGCAGCTGTGGCTGACCAGGGCTGCTAGCTAAGAAAACCAATTTGGCGGTTTCTTCAGTAATTTGAATTTTGTTTAGGTTTTATTGTACAGTACGCTGATTGTTATTTGAATATATTGTATGTACCTAAAATACATGATTCTCATTGCTACAGCTACAAACAAATTATTTCAATGATTTTGACTGATTTATTTTCAACATGAACACCATTACTTTAGTTTATCGAAAAAATATTTTAGCTACCATAACTTACAAAACCGCAAATCTTAAAAAACAATCATTGCAAGATTTTGATACTCTTTTATGTCAATAACATTAACATTTTTAAACTAAGCCAGTACTTCATCTAAACACAATTCGAAAACCTTTTTGAAATTAGAAAATCAAAATCGGTGTACTAAAACGATTCATGCAACAAACTTTAAGTTGAATCACTATGGAAAAGATAGGGGAGGATACAGGGTACACAAGAGCAGGGCTGGTTTTACTTGTTTTAAAGAACTACTACTAGCGCAGCAACCAATTAAGTTAAGACAACAGGTATTTAATATAGTAATTTAATTTATTTTGTTTTTATTCAATGTACATATATTATTTAGAAGATCTAAGACTAAATCTTTGGCTTAATGTAGTCAGTTAATTTTCTTACAATTATTTATATGGATAGATGTAGAATGAAATCACGTTTGTAATACAATTTTTAGGTATTAAGTACATAAGCACATGGCGTGGCACAATTTGGTAGTTTGTATGTATGTAAATGCTCGATTGTGACATTAATCTTGCACCACCATATTTATAATCCATGCGTCTGACTGTTCGCGATTCTGCTCTGCTGTTGGTTGAACGCTCCATAGGCACAACCATTAGACACATGCGACTGCGAATGGTCTAGTTGCGCCAGTTCCGATGGATACCAATGGGCATGTGCATCCTGCATAGATGTATAGCTTATCCCCGTCACCATGTTGGAGTCGCTGTGTGGAATTTTGTTATAGGTTTGTGATTGTTCCATGTGTGTCCAATCTCTGCGCGTTGATGTAAGGCCCAAAGTTCGGTTACCGTGCTGTAAGTGCTGATGAAATTCAAAGGGCCAGCTCTGAAAGACAAAAATGTGTAATTTTTCATAAATCATTAAAGAAAAACCGCAGCACTATAAATGGAACAATATGCCACGACAGCCCACATCGCCTTTATTTGTTTACACAATTTTGATTGTTTTTAGTGCCTCTTTGGGAAATGTTTTCATAGATCAACAATAACAACGTCATTACGGATCTATAAAAACATAAACACCCAAGCACTTGCGGACACAATACGCAAGACTAGAGACACTCATCCACAACTATTTACAATATAAGCAGGGAAACCATACCAAATGGGTTGTTCCCACAAGGCGCTACAATATCATCAACATGCCATCTTTTTAGCAGCGGCGTGGCGCGTGCGTAACACAAATTAGGGTGCCTGCTTAGGATGCCGATGCCGAATGGGAATGGGAACGGGCTGACTAGTGCAAACAAACCTCTGCCACCATATGGGCGCAATACGCAGACAGGCATAATATTTGCTGAAATCTTCGTTCACAGCACATTTCAATATAAACAATTGGGTTGTGCACACAACTTGATGAATAGACATTGTACCATTTGTACTAAGCATTATTCTTGTTCATGCCACAGAATTCTAAACAAAGTCATTAGATACGTAGTACAAATCACTTTTACTTTAATAGATTGTCGTCAATTCACCTGACCGTCGTCTATATACATACATATGTACGTACATACAGGCATATGCACATACTTGTATTTAAGAATGTATGTATGTATTTTTATGAGAAAATGTCGCTCTAAATGAACCAAACACACTTTCCCTTGGATGTCATTCACTTTGCTCGCATCAAAGTTGAACATCTTTAAAAATAACAACAAGAACACGCATAGACTAACTAATGTTGCGGTCTAGATCTATGTATGCATGTACGTCCGGGTCTGCCACCACGTTGGTTTGGGCCTGTCACTCATATTTAATATTTTTGAAATTCACAAAAGTATCGCATTACAGGAAAGCAAGACAAACTGAAATCACAAAATGTGATTTAAGTATCTTAGGGTCTGCACCTTCAAAAGTTACGCACAAAGACATTGCTCAATGCCTAATACTTTTGGTATGTCTAGACGAATGGGAAATATGCAAAGAATAAAATAAAAAAAATAAAATAGCATAAAATAAAATGCATATTGTATTAGGGAACGTCTTACTGGAGGAGGGACGCAAAATTTGTGTAAAAGTTAATTACATGCAACGGTGTATTATTATTAGCGATCTAATATTTTTCTCAGAAAAAGAGAAGTCTCCTATCAAACCTAATTCATATGTTCTAATTGAACTTATTTTGCAGCATTTCCAATACGGATATCAGGATAGTATTTGGACATATGTATGTAAATTGAATCCGAAAATTCAGGGTAATAAATTTCTATTATAGGAAAAGCAGATTTGTTCTTCTGTGCCTTTGTATGTATCTTCATTTGGAGATTGTTTTTTAGGATTTTTTTTCATTAAAACAATTCTTTATTTAGGAGCTTCTTGGAATATATGAACAAGTTTAAACAGAGTTTTTGAATGGCTGGATTTGCAGCGAGATTATTGCCAAGGAGCAGAATAAAATAAGTGGCATTGGAATGACTCATAACTGAAGGAGTTTTTGTTTATTTAGATTTTCATATTTTAGTTCATAAAATTATTTATTTTATCGTTTATTTAAGGCCATCCCCTGAGTCAGTCGGAGCACATTTGTTTTCTGGGAATTCAATTATTTTTTTACAATTATTGGGGGATTTTAAAAGAGCGAAAAAATCTTTCTCTTTGGTGTTAATACCAACCAAAAGTGTCCTAATACATCCTTTGTTTGGGATTTATTTTTAAAAATATACTTTTTTTGATACATAGACAGACAAACATAAAAAAACCATAGTAAGGATGGCTGTCATCCTTCCAAAAACTTATTGGCCCACCTTAAAAGTTCGATTTCATTTCATTTTTAACAATCAATTGAATTCAATGAGTGAATTTAGCTTGTTATTTTGGAGTTATACTATTTTGCACTTTTCCACTTATTGAATAATTCGTTCAATTAAATGAATGAGAGTAATTGAATTTGGAATTATTATATTACAAGTCGAAATCAGTTTCAGGAATAGCGCAATTAATGAGCATACTATTTAATGAAATACTATAGTCTTATCAATGGATCATAACCTAATTACTTTGCACATGATCAGCACGCTCCTAAACGAATCTTAATAGAATTGAATAGATGTATAGGCTACATATCCCCAGTGACATTTATGTCACGCATTGACGGGACTCATCTGCAGGTGTGTATAAATAGCTGCTACAAATCCCACAGATTCCTCGACAGATGACCTGAGTATCTACTGCACTGTGCACCGCTAAGTGGTGCCACTGACTTCATTTATTTATACATATGTACATACATACCCGTAAATGTATGCATATACTTCTGTATGTCGTTTGTAAATCCAGCCACGACAAATTTATGACAAGAAGAATGTTAAATGATTGCATGACACTTACCATGCCGCTGTGTCCACCATTATGGAAATTAAAAGCACCGATGCCAGATCCTCCAGCGCCGCCAAGACTACCACCGCCGCTTCCACAGTGGGGCAAGTGGCTTGTGTCCAGATTTTCGGTGCCAGCGTTGACACCGCTGCCATTCTCAACAGCAGTAATTAGCTGTTTAATGTACAGAGTGGCCAAACGCAACGTATCCAATTTGGACAGTTTTGTGTCGGGTGGAATGTTGGGTAATTTGGTTTTTAGACGCCCATAGGCGCTGGATAGGACTCGCATACGCATACGTTCGCGCGCATTTGCAGCATTTCTTTGAACCGGGGGCTGGGAACCTGGTAACAGCAAGAGATGGGAAATTCCCGTTGATTAATTAACACTTCGGTCAGCAATTGCTTTTGCTTACTATGAGAGCTGGCATCCTCATCGAAATCATCATCGTAGAGTTCTAGGGGACTGGAGGAGCGCCTCTTACGTGGCATTATGTAATCTTTAAAATCGCTTTTTTTTCACCTTTTTGATTTGGTTTAGAAACAATTGTTCTTTTCACTGTCACTGCAATATTTACGAAATTAAATATGGTTTCTTTTTAGTCCATCTACTGTTATGATGATGTTACCACGCGGAACACAGAACCGTTGCGTAGCGCGTGAAAAATACGTCTGCCTTTGGGATTGAGAAAATCTTCCTTTATACACACATTCCCATTCTCTTACACATGTCAGGGCCTATTTTTGGCACTTGTGGGCGTGTTTAAGTCGTATAAAGTGCCGTTAGTCTGCTACAATTGGTGGAAGAAATAACATATGGTGTGATTTCCATACTCTCTCTCTTCGTGCTTGCTCCGCATTGGCCCGTTCGCAGACTAGTATGTAGTTTGAACCGCTCCATCGGAGCGAAAGGGCCTTGTGCTTATATGATTTCAAAGATTTTGTGATTTACTATAGTCTAAAGAAATAAAGTTAATTTTAAATCTAATTTCCTTTTCCGATTGTGATTCCCATCCTCAAAAATATGTATTTACTATACACTTTATATTGCACGATTTTTGATAAGAAGACGCCATCTGTCACTATTAATTTTTTAATGAATATTTATACTCTGTACATGAAATGTACAGAAGTATATTAGGTTTGCGGGAGCTGAAAAATGTAACAGGCAGAAGGAGGCGTGGCAGACCCCACAAAGTATATATATTCTTGATCAGCATGACGAGACGAGTCGATCTAGCCCTGTCTGTCTGTCTGTCCGTCTGTCAGTCTGTCCGTCTGTCCGTCCGTATGAACACCTGGATCTCAGAGACTATAAGAGATAGAGACACCAAATTTTGCACAAGATGCGTTATGTGTATATTCTATACGAGTTTGTTTTATTTTTTTGATTTTCCCCCCCACTTCCCCCCTATGGGGGTTTTCCCGTTTTTCCATTTGTATAATCGCCTATATCTCGGAGACTATAAGACTTAGGAACACCAAATTCCCCCCTCTACCCCGCAAATCGTAACTCCCGTAATTCTTGGAATTTCGAACTAAAATTTTGGAAATACCCCCAGTTGGTTATTATGTGTCCGTTTGTCAAGTTTCACTATGATAGACCGATTTAACAAGAAGTTATAGCCATAAATATATTTGCTGCTGCAGCGCTGCCCACGGCTGTTGTTGATGTTGCTGTTTGGTTGACTGCGAAAATGCTTACACAGACACGAATTGATGCGCATAGGCATAGATACACTCACACAGACGCAATTGCTATGTAAATGTGCAATTATACGTGAGTTCGAATACCGAGGGAGGTAAAATCGATCAAATTTTTTTTTTATTTTCTTAATTTTTTTATTTTCTATAATTATTGTAAACATATGTACAGAGTATTTCAAAGTCGGGACACCCGACTTTAGCTTTTTTACTTGTTTTTTCTTCTAATTTTAGAGCATTATTAAGATTTGCTTACGTTGTCGATTGATGAATTGGCATTATATTCTATACATACATAACGTCTATACAAATTTAGGGTGATAAGCCGCAAACACACCCCAAAAGTTTATCAGTCCACTGACCCATAAGATCAGAAGCCCCATTTAACTGATTGTCAATAAAAAATTAAATTCAACTATGTACACATATGATCCCATCCAATGCCAAATCAGGGCTCAGTTTAAATATTTAATTCGTTGCACGAGGTTGCGTTTCGACGGAGCTCCTCAGTATGTGGCGTTTAGTAATTCCAGCACCCTTAACGAGAGGGAGTCAAGGATTTTTTACACGAAGTCTCAGCAAGGCGAATGCGCCAACTGCCGAGCTTCCTTCTTCGGCGGATGTTGTGGTAATTGGTGGCGGGTCGGCAGGATGTCATACGCTGTATCATCTTGCAAAGAGAGGCGTAAGGGCTGTCCTCTTGGAGCGTGCCAAACTAACAGCTGGCACCACCTGGCATACGGCGGGTCTAGTCTGGCGGCTACGACCCAACGATGTCGATATTCAGTTGCTGAACAACTCACGCAATATGTTGCGTCAGTTGGAAGCGGAAACGGGTCTTGATCCGGGTTGGATACAAAATGGTGGAATTTTCATTGCGCACAACGAAACGAGGCTTGACGAGTACAGACGGTTGGCCACCGTGGGGTCTGCACTTGGCATTGAAAATCAAATACTGAGCCCCGAAGAGACGCAAAAGCTGTTTCCACTTCTCGACCCCCAAGCCTTCATTGGTGCTCTTTACTCACCCGGCGATGGTGTTGTTGATCCTGCAATGCTCTGCACAGCACTGACACGTGCGGCCACAAAGCGAGGGGCAAAGGTGATCGAAAACTGTGCTGTCAATGAGATCTTGATTGAAGAAGGACGATGCGGCAAAAAAGTTATTGGTGTTGCCACGCCGTTTGGCAACATAAAAACCGATAAGGTTGTGAACGCCACCGGAGTGTGGGGTCGTGATTTGGTGGCGAAACACGGCTCGCATCTGCCTCTAATACCGATGAAGCATGCCTATATTGTTTCAGAGTCGATACCGGGTGTGCGTGGTCTGCCAAATATTCGAGATCATGATTACTCCACATATTTTCGGATACAAGGTGATGCCATATGCATGGGTGGCTACGAGCCTAATCCGATTTTATTAGATCCGGTGGCGTCTGACTTTCATTTTGGGTTATACGAGCTGGACTGGACAGTGTTCGAGTCCCATTTGAATGGCGCTCAGAAATTGTGTCCAACCTATGCCAAATATGGCATTAAGAGCACAGTCTGTGGTCCCGAATCCTTTACACCTGATCATAAGCCGCTAATGGGTCCCGATACATTGCTTGATGGGCTCTATCATAATTGCGGCTTCAATTCAGCGGGCATGATGTTCGGTGGTGGCTGTGGTGAGCAAACTGCTCTCTGGGTCATTAATGGACAGCCTGATCTGCCTATGTTTGGATTCGATCATCGTCGATTCACACCGGAACAAGGACAAGCCACCCAATGGATACGGGAAAAGTCGCACGAAAGCTATGTGAAGAACTACAGCATGGTGTTCAAATACGATCAACCATTAGCAGGTCGCGACTTCCAGAAGGACCCACTGCATGAGGAAATGTTACAAAGCAATGCCTTCATGGAGGAGAAACAGGGATGGGAACGACCGGGTTTCTTTTTAAAAAACAACAAGAAAGCAGACGCATTACCTTATGATTGGTACGGCAGCTACGGCCATGCGCGGCATCAAAACAGCAACTACGAGCAGGTCTTGGAGGGCGATCTGAAGTACAACAGATTTTCGGAGCATCATGATCTTGTAAGTGACCTAAACGAGCCTATAAAGAACTTCTTCAATTACTTGCACCCATGAAAACGTAAGGGTTATCCTTTTCCTTAATATAGTCGTAAGCATTTCTTTCACCCATGAAAAATCAAAGGTTTTCCTCTTCCCTAACATATTGTATACTATTTACTTTTCGCGAGTGCTCTATAGATCGGCGAAGAAGCGCACGCTTGCCGCAATAATGCCGTCGTCTTCAACATGAGCTATTTTTCGAAATTGCTACTTGAGGGACCGCAAGCACAGCAGGCGGCTGACTGGCTCTTTTCGGCAAACACAAATCGAGATGCCACTAAGTGAGTGGCTTATCTTCAGACCCCGAGTATTGCAGTAATAATCTGTAATCTCGATTTGTTTTCAGAACAGTCTACACATGTGCCCTCAATGATGCCGGCGGAGTAGAGGCAGACGTAACAGTTTCGCGATTAGTTTCGGGCTCTGGAGCAATCTACGATCCAAAATTTAATGGACAGGGCTACTACATTGTGGCGGGTGGCGCCTCTGCCTTCTACACCTACAGCGTGCTGATGAAAGAGATGCGTCGTAAGGGGTTCGACGCCAACCTGCATGATATTACGGCCGAAATGGGTGTAATTTCAATACAAGGGCCGAAGAGTCGCGAGATTCTGCAGAAAATTGTCGACTGCGACCTTACCGATGAGAATTTGCCGCCAAACAGCACCTTGTTGGCGAAATGCAATGGCATTGGCCTGCGGTTGCTTCGTGTCAGTTTTGTGGGCGAGCTGGGCTACGAGCTCCATGTGCCCAAGAGTGACTGCGTTGCCGTCTATAAGGCTGTAATGTCGGCCGGAGCAGATCAGAGTCTACGGAATGCAGGGTATCGCGCACTGTACTCCCTCAGCAGCGAGAAGGGCTACCATCTGTGGAGCTTTGATCTTCGCCCCGATGACACACCCTTGGAGGCTGGCTTAGCGTTTACCTGTCGAAAGACCGGCGAGTTCAAAGGCAAGAAAGCAATAGACGCACAGCGCGCGGCAGGTATTAAAAGACGTATGGTATATTTGACGCTGGACGAGCAGACCGCCATATGGGGTCTAGAAGGGGTTTACAGGGATGGAGAGCCCGTCGGAGTTCTGAGGCGGGCTGAGTATGCCTACACACTCGGCAAGCCCTTGGGTCAGGCTTACATAACGCGCCCGGATGGTCAAAACATTGACAATGACTATCTGAGAGCTGGCAACTATGAGCTGGATATTTTGGGCAAGCGCTACAAGGCCACTTGCCATCTACGCAGTCCATTCGATCCGAAAGGCGAACGTGTGCTCGGCAACTACAACAGCTAGGCTCATATATACTTGTACATACATTGCGTGTAAATACATATAATACCTTGTAAATTTAACCGCATTCCTTGCTTCCTAGAACTGCGCATTTCTCCGCTTACGCATCTGGTGAAAGGTCTCCCGGCCAACCACTCAACCGCAGGCTCTCAAGTGGTGAGCGAAAGCCATAAATTAGATCACAAAAGTGTCAATGGTTCGCAGAAAGGTCTGCCAAGCAGCCAAGCTGTCTGCGCTTGCGCAAACTATTAACTGCTCAATTAATTCTGTTGTCAAACTGTTGTGACGGGCACCTCGGGGTTCTAGGAAGGGTTTCTGCTGGTCGCTCGAAACTCAATCTCCTGTTTGCGTGCGGCCAGACAAGCTGACGCCTGAACGTAAGTTAATTCTTTCTCTCATAAAGAAAACATTGTCTCCTCTATGGGAAATACTGTCAAAAGGCAAGGCTACATTTCTAAGTTGCATTTTAATTGTCGGACGCAATAGTCACGGTGGAAGACGTGTTGGGGCTTCCATCGAAATGGGCCGCTACAAGCTCTTCGATAGCATAGTTGAATTTGAAAATTGATCGCATTTCTGGCTTCAAGCGACAGACCACACCGGCCGAGCCCATATTCCAGTTCCAGCATACTAGATCGCAATGCAGCACCTCGAGATCCTCCTTTAGCGTGATGATGTTCTATTAGATTGGAATGAATTTTATGTTAGTGAATTGTTTTGCTTTTTATCAATGAAATATTTACCATTGCAACAGTATAATCGATAGAATTTATCTCTTCCCCCTTGAGCACAATCAAATGGGTTTCACCATTTTGTTGATTTATAAAGCGTACTACTTTTTCCTTTACATACTCGGCACAGGCATAATCCAATTTTTGTTTGACTTCAACTAAGCCAAATTCATGTCCGTTGATCTGTAAGAAAGGACGAAAAAGCAAGTTTTATAAAACATTAAATTGAGTAAAATCGGTAAATCGAACTTTAACTCAGTCATGTAAAATAGACTAAGTATTTCGTAATAATGGAAACACAATGGGGTTCCCCGAGCTTGTTTCACATTGTGCTTTATCGTACCCCTATGTATCTTTACTATATAATATTTTGAGCTAATTTCGATTTTGGAATTTGCGTATTGGAATGGCAAAATATTTGAAATATGATCTGAATCGGAAACGGGAAACTTAACTGCTACAAAAGGTTGGATGAGGAGTGATAAAACAGACAGACACTTTGTCTTATAGTGGCCATCATGTATATATGCTTAGGTCCACCAAGACTTTGTATATCCCTCAGAAACTGTCATGCCAAGATATAATATAATAGGCAAGCCTCTGACGGTAAAATAAAACAAGAAAAGAATGCTAAAGTCGAGCAAGCTCAACTCTTAAATATCCTGTACCTGTACTGTACCCACAGGAAAGTAAAAAATGAAAAAAAAATTTTTAAACATTAAAAAAAAGTATATTAATTAAATTATGTAATTAATTTAAAGACATGTTCATGTACAGTTTCAACAGCATACATTTACATCAGAATCGTGTCTCTGCGTATTTATATGCGTGTATGTATGCAGCACAAAGTTGAACCCAAGCAGCAGCAACAACAACAGCTGCGGGCAGCGCTGCCGGCAGCGGTACAAGCAGAGCATTGGTAGCGATTTTATTTATGGCTATAACTTTCTTTAGAATGGACCTATCATGATGAAACTTGGTATACAGACACATAATCGCTAACGGGATGTAGCTACCTAATTTTAGTTCGAACTTCCAAGAACTACGGGAGTTATGGAAAAAAACACGAATTGCGGGGGAGTGGGGGGTGTATTAGAATAAAAAAATAAACTTGACCTGCCTAGGGCTTATGGGAATCTGGATACCGAGTTTGGTTATTCTAGCTCTTGTACTTTCTGAGATCCTTGCGCTCATACAGACGGACGGACGGACGGACAGACGGACATGGCTATATCGACTCGGCTTGTCACCCTGATCAAGAATATATATATTTTGTGGGGTCTGCCACGCCTCCTTCTGTGTGTTACATACATTCGCACAAAACTAGTATAGCCTTTCACCCTTTTGGGTACAGGCTATAATAATGAATAATTCCTTCATATCTGGTACGAATACTCCTTTACGACAATGTTTCTCTGCTTGAACCATATCTCTTACCTTTTCCACAGTTATGTTTAGTTGTGGACGTGCACTGCTGTACAAAATGTATACAAGATTGGCAACAATGCCACAGAGTATGCCATATTCAAGGCTCCAAAATAGGCAGGTAAGTATTGTCACCAAGAACGGCAGAAGATCACGTCCTGCAAAAACCAACAATTTCAAATAAAAGGATTGATGTATGGTATTTGTGACTCACTTTTGGACTTCCACATATCCGTTATCTTGTGCAGTTCCACCAGCGATATCATGGCCGCTATAATTATAGCCGCCAGTGTAGCTTTGGGTATGTAATAAAAGGTTTGCGTGAGGAAAGCTAAGGCCATTAGAACTAGACAGCCAGTGACGGCACCACCGAGAGGTGTCCTCACTCCACTGGCATTGTTAACGGCCGTGCGGGTGAACGAGCCCGTCACTGGCATGGAGAGCACAAAACTGCCCATTATATTACACATGCCCAGAGCAACCATTTCCTGAGAGGCGTCAACGATCTTGCCCTTCGCTGGGATTAAGTATTTTTGAGATTAGTAGTAGAGTGCTTATATGGATGCATCACTTACAGAAAGCTTTTGAAATTGCAACAATTTCAAGAATGGCAATCATTGGTATAGAACCCAACGAGGGACCCAGAGTGCTGATCATCTCACCGAAGGAAACATAGGTACCGTCAATGGTGGTACTGAATGGTGGGGGGCGAAAAGGTGGTACACCTGCTGTAATATTGCCAGTAACTCGAAACGGCTGGTTGCCATCGCGACTGAGGGCATAAGCTAGATAGGTGCCAATTATGACAGCCAAGGCGTTGCGAGCCAAGGCGAGATATTTCCAGAAGGTCTTGTTGCCCCATTTGATGTCCTTAACGTGCTGAAATCAAATAAAACAATTTATGAGATGAGGTCTTAAAGAAAATCAACTTCCATTACCTTCATTAGAAGCAGAAAGACTAACGTTAACACTCCAAGTATGGCATCCCAGCGTCTAATCGATGTCAAGTGTGTGAAGAAATTCTTCCAGGCGGGCAGTAAATCGTTGGAGGGACCTAAAAATGTATATTGCGAAATATAGTTTGAAAAATCAGTGTCTTTCCACTTCCACTTACTGCTCAGACCCATTAAGTTATTGATCTGTGCGCTGCCAATTGTTGTTGCTGCAGACATAGTGAAGCCCGTTATGACCGGAATCGATATAAAACGCACTAATACGCCCATATTCAAGAGACCGAGTACGAGAATAATGCAGCCAGCTAAAAAGCAAGCTAGGACGGCATAATCGGGCGATATAATGGCATATTGATGCACCATTAGAGCCATTATGGCTGTGGTAGCTGTAATTACAAAATACACACACTCGTCTACAATGTTTTCATCCCGGACTCAAGAAATATCTTACCGATAGTGACATCTTTGCAGGAGCCAAAGATAATGTACGTAAAACAGCCCATGAAGGCCGAGTAGAGACCATACTGCGGCTCGAGGCCCGCCACAACACCATAGGCAATGGCCTGTGGGATGGTTGTCAGGCCCACAGTAAAGCCAGCAATAAAATCTTGAGCCAAGTATTCAGTACGATAGCGGGGCAACCAACTCAGTATGGGAAATTTATTGGTTACAGTCGTGGGTCTACATAGTTTCCGCCCACCATCAGTGACAAGGTTACAAACATTCGGCAGTTGCTCCCGGTAGAGGCTATCTAAATGGATAATTAAATTAGTCGGCACGTACTCATATCATTTTTGACATGACATCTATTAAAATGTTTATTAGTCCAGTTGCTGATTAGATTGATTTTTATTGATATGGGCAATATAAACTATACTACCTGATTATTTTTAGCATGGCAGCAAGCCACTTGGGTCCTATCGCAATTTGTATACGTTTGTACAGGGTATTTCCCAGTCGAGCTTTCTCAACTGCAGCGTTATCTCTTGCTTTTTTTTACAAGTGAGCTTTAAAAGCAATTCTGGTTGCATTTTATTAAAATAACTATATATACTATATATGACGTATTATGAAATTCGTCATATTTGCGTGCCCGTCTGACCATACCCTAAGTATTTTAAGTTAGCTTGTTTTGGATTTTTAGCTGAATAAAGAATAAAGTCTGGCTGCGTATTTGTATTATGAGGGATCATTGTGCTTTGTCTTGCTAAATGTCAATTTGTGGTTTAAGAGAAATCATTCATATTTCAGCTTTCCTCAACCGAAACACAAACTCATTAAAATGTTTATAATTCTCTGTCATAAAATATAAAAATGCATTGTAATTCTACCTGCTCTCAACTAATGGGGAAGCCCATTCCAACTCACCGTCATCTGCTCGCATCGCTGAGGCTTTGATATTGAAATTATTTCCGTGTGAAGTTTCAGCACAGTCTAGAACTGGCCGTGAGTCGCGTCCGCTCTCTGTGACGTTCCAGACTTAAATGCGACTCTCTAATCGTATATTGCTCGGTCGTAGCCGGCTGAATCGGCAGCGCTTGAGATTGTAAGTATGAAGCGCCCATAAATGACTTATTTATTCATATGTACAAGTATGTACATACATATAAGTATGTGTGTGTGCTAAAAACAAACAACATTATCTTAAGCTATTGTACCAATTTACTGCCAGACGTTCACGACTGGTACGTGAAGCGGCTAAAGCTTTGTCGAAGATACGAAATAGATTGAAAATCCATTCAGTTAGACTGTCGCCGCAGAACCATCAGTTCTTATTAATATTTAATTGATATTATAAATCGCTTACATTCTGTACAAAATAAACATGTTCCTATTTGCAAATTATAAACTCAATATAATAAAAGAAATAATAAAATAAAAGTGGAAAGGCTAAAGCCCTGACTTTGAAATACTCTGTACCTATATTTATGATTATTTAAAAAAAGAATAAAATGAAAACAACAAGAAATGAAATCGAAATAACAAATGTTGATTGATTATTCCTTTATCGGGATTTGAACTCACTTAAACGGTGTATCATGTATGTGTATAATGTGTTTGATGTATATTTGCATAGGAATTGTGTCTATGTCTGCAAAATCTGTGTGTGAGCATAAGTGCAGTACAAAGTTGAGCCAACGCAGCAACAGCAACAGCTATAGGCAGAGCTTAGACAAAGATAACATTTATGGCTATAGCTTCCTTTTAAATGACCTTACTATATTACGATTAAACTTGATATACGGACACAAACACTAACTAAAAGTAATTGATATTGATTCCAAATTCCAAGAATTACGTGAGTTATGGAAAATCCCTATTAGCGGGGTAGTGGGAGAAAGAAAATATTGAATTACATTTGAACTGCGTAATCATACAGAACGTACACATACGAGTATCTGCGTAAAAATTTGTCCTACCTCTTGTAATCTCTGAGATCTATATAAATGTTTATACGGACTGATAGACGGACGAATGCATAAAAACAGATTTGAAGACTTGGATGTACGACTCCCATTATCGATCAAGTGAATATAGTGATAAACGGAATTCAAGACCAAAAAAAAAAAAACACGTCAATTTCGCTTAAAAAAAACAAGGCTATGCTGACAGAATGCCAAGGTCTTTTTTGAGAATCGTTTGCGTGAAAGTCAAGAATCGGAATTTGTGGAAAGATAACTTTTTGTTCATGCACCACATTAATGCATTCGTTCTTTTTGACAATTTTGGCAAAAATAAGACTCATATCGTCCTACACCCCCCCATTCACCTGATTTGTATATTTAAAATTATTTAACCATGCGAATTTGTTTTTTTACATATATTTAACTATAAGAGGTTATATATACAAAATTTGTAGGGGATGTTGAGCGCCTTAAGTTTTCCTGTGTTGCTCTTTACACCTATGGTGTTAATTTAGGGCCTTGCATACAAATAGTTGTTTGGTTTCGCTTATCAATGAATAACTTAATTGTCAAATAAGCTCACGCGCTGTCAGGCGAAGATAATAAAGATGGACGGACAAATGCAAATAGTAGTAATTAATTTGCAGACATGAGTGTACATATTTTGGTGTACAAGAGTACTATTGGCACAGCTTGAATGTGTGGTGCAGCACACCAGACTTGTTAACCAGACGATAAACAAGTTTCATCGGGTAGGTACGTCTTCACGCATTGCTGCGAGCGCATTGTTATTTAGAATTTGCGATAATAAAGTCAGTGAACTTGTAGCATTTCGGGTTTGCATATAGTTGGATATGTTTTCAATTTTTATTAATAAATCAGATTTAGGAACTTTGACGCGCAATAAATCTGGGAACAATAATCTAATCTTTATTTTACTTTGAAGAATGATGAAATGCTCATACTGCCTTTGGCACCTTTGGCCAGCGCCTTTTCTTTGGCTGTTAGAGTGCGCTCCTTTAAGGGTGTGGGTATTGTTGGCGAGGTAATGCTCTCCTTTGCATCATCAATTGAGCTGTCCAGCAGACCACTACTAGCATCTTGGCCAGAATTAAGTTTGATTTTTTTACTGTTGTTCGTTTGTGCCTGTTCAGATTTTCGTTTCTGGGCCTGGTCTTCAGCAAGTGCTTGAATCTCAGTCGGTATTTTCAAATAACGCACAAGTTCATCGTAAAGCTCGACATCCAAATAGCGGCCCACATAATCACATGCCATTCGCAAATAGTCCGTTTCATTGACGGTGTTTTCATCAGAATGTTTTTCACTGCGCACAAAGTTCTGTGACTGCGCGCTGGTCCCGCAGTAGACGTTGTTCTCCTTCAGTGCATCCACAACTTTTCGAGTCTTCACGGCCAACCAAGCCTTTGTGCGCTCGGCATTGTATTTATAGAATTTCGTATTCCCGGAAACCTTAACATCGGCCACACATTTCAGGTGATCGGCGTTGACAAACTTCATCAGTAAGCGATTCGCGCTGGCATCCTGATCATCATGTATGCTGTCCAGTGACATTGCACGCTGGGCACAGTACTTACGAAGATAATGCAGCGCCAGGAAAGTTGTGTCCACGGGCGTCGTCATATAAATTCGACCATTGGAGCAGACTTCGCTATCAATAAGCCAACTGCGTCTTGGCTCACTGTACTCTACCAGTTCCATAATATGGTTACCTTTCTCCTGTTCTAGCGTTACGAATAAGGCGTCTCGCCCCTTTCCAGGATGAAAGAAACGTTCCAAGTGCAATAGCTCCTCCTCACCCTCAACATTGTTTATAAGGTTTTCCGATATATAAAAGACTTTCTTTGGTGCCACCACCTCTGATCCATGCTTTTCTGGGGCATCTGGATCAGGTTTTGGTTGAGTCGAACGTGTTGCTTTTTTACTCATGGCCAACAAAATTTGTATAAATATTCCCGCCTTTTGGTTGTTTATGTTGAGACTACGAAATATCCCAGCTGTTGTTCTCGTTTTTTCAGTGGATGCCACATAGCTAGAAATAGTAAATTGTTAGGTTGCCACCCAAGAGAAAAACAATTCGTTTCGCTTAAAAGTAATATGCTTGTATGAAACTGATTTGTGTTACAAATATTCTTGTAATACAAGGAAAGAGAAACCATACAGAATTTAGGAATATAATTATGCATGTTTTAAAATAATAGGAGCTTTTTAATATGTAACTGAAAAGGCATTCATTGATAAAAATGGCTCATTCACCAAAAATAATTGGATTTACCAAAACCGCCACCAATATAAAATTTATTTTTGTAATGAGCCTTTACACATTTCGTTTGTACGTCTGCCTTTGATGGTAACAACAAATATTTGTATTTGTGTGCCTTATGATAGATTCTAAAATACTTACATGTGTATGTAAACATTATGGAAAGTTATTATGTAATGAATTAAAATTTGTATTTGCAGCAGCTGAGCCCAAAATAAAGATAAGTACAATAGATAGGTAATAGATAATTTTTAATATTTTTCATTTCATTATATCGAATTACTCTTTGGAAAAGAGCTTTTCAAACTCTGATGGACTTTTAAAGTAATCGACCAAAAGCATGGACGAACGGCTGCCCAACTTATACATAATGTGTCTCCAAGGGTTTAGGAAATTTTTATATTCCTTAATTTCACCCCTATGAAAATAATGTTTGACAGTGCCCAGCGGCAGTTGTGAGCCATAAACAGCAACATATCTGCAAATATTTGTTTATATACCATAAATAGTACCGGCTAATTATTAGTTTTACTTACTTTTCAGGACTCTTGTAAATGCGTAGAGGATATTTGGCCACAAACATGCGAATAGCTAAATTAATGAGGACAAAGCCTACCACAAAGTAATATAAATCTGATTCCTCAGATACAAGAGGCCCCAAGTCTAATTTCAGTGCAATGTCCACAAAATTCATAGTTGTAGCTGCCTGATATAAAGCCACCAGACTAAGAACGCTTATAGTTGCAGTCGATATGTTTTTTGTCCAGGCGACGTAATTTTCCATTGGAGCACGGTACACGAGCTGGTATGTTTCCGGGATACGGTCCTTTCGTAACAGATAGCGTTCCACATCGGCGGATTGAACACGCGGCCAACTGCGGCGCAAATGGCTCGTGCTATCGTCAAAAATGTATAAGTTTAATAACGCTTAGAACAGTCAACCTCGATTTCAGACTTACCAAAACCCTTTGAAAAGCGCAACGCTGCTCTTAGCACATGAATTATTGCACTTTATACTGGTTCGTAAAAGTTTTACTGCTGCAAACATTTTGTTTACCTTTTTGACTGCAACAGCTGATTGGGGAATGAGAGATGAGAGTCAGTCTAATTTTTCCGCAGGTCACTTTGTCACATTTTCGTTTTTCGATTGTGAGGTGGACCATTTTAATTTAAAAAAATACTAATAAGAATAATAAGCAGAATAGTAGTTTGCGGTAGTCTCCTTCGTGACAATAAATATGTAGAGTACAGAAACGTATCTATCAGCTGATAGATATTTAGCAGTTCGTTGCAAGTAGTTTGTTGTCAAAAAGCGTTGCCAGATCACACAAGCATTGGATTTCATTTTCTATACCAACACAATATACAAGTCGATACTTTTTAAATTCGAAAATTGTGTAGCTCATAAGAGGACTTAACAATATTTGCAGTTTCTCATCGGTGCTAATTAGGTGGAATGGAAATGAAACGTGTGGGCGCCGCAGAAACAGGCGATGGGCCCGACGCTAAACGCCTTGCTCAAGATGTAGAAGACCGGATATCCGCTGCGGCCAATGTTGAACGGGTTGTAGATAGTCTATTAGCTGAGAGTATTTCTCGTTCCTACTTACCGGCAACCAGCATAAATGTACCTTTTATTGGTTCGCCATCAATGGAGTCATGCGCTTTGACGAAGTCATCGGTTGAATATAATCAATTTCTTCAATGTTTTGATCCATTTGTGGCTCCAGATCGAAAAACTTCTGCACATGATGGAATGTCGGTGTCAAGACCGGAAAGCCGTGTCAATATGCAGGGAAAATGTATGTAGGTAGATATATATGTTGTGTATGAATTTACAATTTGTTTTATTTTCCAGCAAATTTGAGAGGCGCCCGCAGTGCTCCAAAAATAGGGCGTCGCGAGCAAGGAACTCTACGGCGCCAGAATGCCTTGCGAGCCCTGGCCTTGGAGCATCAGCTTACCGATAAACGGGCAACTCTGAACTCTGTGTTGATCATCCACTTCCCAGATCCTGAAGTATCTCCCCAAGCGGTGGCAACATTTTCACAAGATATTCGCGAAGTTATCTTCCCAGTTAACTTAAGTCCCCGTCAGTGCTGTGTTCAGCTGAAGCCGGGCGTGAATGTTGAACGCACAATCGCCAACCTTAATCAGGTGGCATTTGGTAACGGTTTCTTGAAGGCCGAGCTGAAACCTTTCACGGATGAAGAGCTGGCCAGTAACATCGATCCATTTTCGTTGTATGTAAGCAACATACCATTTAATATGACCACCGCTGCAATTAGGGCGCATTTTCCAAACGCCCAGCGGGTCGATATCGGCATTATTAAGCGGGAGAAACGAGCTAGATATGCTTTCGTACGCTATCCTAATGTGGATCTAGCCGCAGAGGCATTTAAACATTTAGTGAGCTCTCCCCTTGGAAATAGGAAATTGACAGTGCGATATCGCCGCCTGCGGAAGGACAATCCTATGCCATCCTGGAACAACGGCACTTCGACTATGACAATCAACATAACTGGCACCGACGATGAAACGATCGAATGCCAAGTTATTTCGGCACCGCCGGTAGATTCGATCAGAATCAGCGATACTGATTCTAATTTTTCCGACACCTGCAGCATTTCCACAACTAAAAGCTCACCAGATCGAAAAGTAATGGTTAAACGGGAGAACAATGAAATACGTAAAATAAAGCTACGAATGTCGCAATTGGAGAAAACGATAAGGAAAATGAATACCGAGCCTGAATATAACGGCAAGTATAAAAAAGATTTCTCTAAATTCCATACCTTATTTAATACCAAAATAGAAGGTGCATCTCCATCATATCAAAAGCAAAATGTATCTGGAACGAAAGAACGGCGACTGAGCGCCCATTCGACAGTGGAATTGAAGAAAAAAGAAGGAGAAATACAGACAGCTACTTCAGTTCCATATAAGTCAAAGGATATCAACAGTGCCAACACATGTACCAAAGACAATGAAAAAGCTAAATGTAACTAAAAATCTAAAATATGTTAGGCTCTATTTGGTCAATATTATCTTTTTTTCACAGCATCCGATTGTTTTGGTTGGTTGTTTTCAGGTCTCGGTCGCCGTAAATATCCAAAAGCGCAAGATTCACTAGCCAAAAAGGATGGCCCCACTTTTAAAAAGCATATTGCGCAGCTGAATACTGATACAGATGCGTAAACTCAATCAATTTGCAGTAAATATTTCAAATTTTCAAGTTGAGTTCGATCAAAATTGCCCGTAAAGGATCATAGCAAGTGAAAAGCCAACGTTTAGATATATACATGTAACTTTTAATTTGTTTTTCTGTTCTTATGCGCACATTTTAGGGTATAAAATAAAATAATTACACGTACGCAAACTAAATAGTTTTTCGATTTAAATATTAAATCCTGGAACTTACACTTAAAAGACTTATATATCACCTATCTTGTAATCAAAAGTTAAAGTACGATTTCACTTAACCAACAATACATTTATAACAGCTATAGTTTGTATTATCATTATACCACATTTGTATGTAGATAGATATGTATGTACTAACGGGCCATTGATGACTGTGTAGTGCTACAACAATAACATGCATGTATGTATGTCGAAAATCTTAACTAAACTATATATGCTTATCATTTTTTGTTTTAATCGATAGTATTTATATGGCTGGCGAAATTTAAAAGTGAAATTTTGATTCGTAAGACAATAAAGTTATTATTTTTTTTTTTTTTTTGCATTTTGTTTCGAATATGGAATGTTAAGTCTAGTTTAATTTTGTTTTGTTTATGTACACAACAACAACCAAAGGCACCTGCTTACGCAATTGTTTTTAAAAAATATTTGCTCGTAATTTTCGTAAAATCCGAATTTGCAGAGTGGTAAAATTTTAAAAACTTTACTTGGACTGTTAAGTGTGAATATAAATTGTTCAGATTTGTCCTAAATTAAAATGCACTTTGGGGCTCTTTTAGCTAACTATGTATTTCGATATGCAGCACAAAAGTAGCGTACTGAAGAGCACGCCCACGGCTGAGTTGCTTGTCAGTTGGCTCATGGCACCAGATCCAGTTCGTCCTGCTAATTCGGGTACAGGTGGGTCATCATTTGTTTGGTGATCACCGACAGCTATTTAATTTAAACAAAAAAAAACCAATATAACGTGGGAGAAGTTAGTAAAATAATTAAAATATCAGAGTATAAAGTATACAAGAAGATAATTATAGTTATATTTAAAATTGTAAACATCAACAGGCAGAAGCTGCACTGTGCTTATGTGTAAATATGTATAGACTTAAAAATGTAGTACTGCATACATATATCTATGTATGTGTACCTTAAGTAAAAACAAATAAAAAGCCAGCAATTGGATTGCTGTAGATTAAACTAAACTTAATTGAATAAATTAAAAAAAATCTTAAATTATAAGCAAAATAATTGAAATAACATACTCTCCACTTTTTGCGCAAATGTTTCGTTTTGTTTTGTTTGCTTGGCGATTTTTTGAATGGCGTTCAGCAGCGGCGCAGGATTGAGGCGTGGCATGTGTATATATTGTGGCTCGATTTCAGACAGAGATCACTCAAAGAGACATAGACGAATGTTAACTTAATGCTGGTCACACGATACTGGGCTCGCGTTTGGTACAAGTACAAGGTATTAGTTGATTTTACTGATCGACAGTACAGAGGGACATATGCTTTAAATCTGCTTAAAAGAACCTGTTCGTCAGGCCCCACATCCAGCCGGGCAGTAGACCACCATTCGTAGTTGGGGGTACTGCATAGGCACATGTTTTCGAATATGTATACATATGAATTGTTTACGTTTTTGGCAGACATTTACATACACATACGATGGCATATACATATATATATAAGTCCACATCATATTGCGAAATGAAAAAATATTAAGAAAAAAATGAAATATTGCATAAATAACAACTCAGGATGAAATGAATTTTGAAGCAGTTTGTTGCGGTTTTGACTAAGCAGCATATGCATGTGTAGGCGTGTGCGAGCTTATAACGTAAATAATTTTCGCTACACTACGACAATAAGCTAATAATCAGTTTGATCAAGTAGAATGTTTAGAATATATGCATGTTTGTTTCGTTTTTTCTTTTTTTTTTGTATATACAGTTAAAGATTTACTACATCTACACATAAAAATATCGTACGGTGTATGCATATACAATCGTTAATTAAAAACAGGTTCAATTGCTGCTGCTGGTTAATTAAAAAAGGCACTAGGCAAGCCCACTTAGAAGCCAAAGCTTTGCGAAGCGACTGTGCAAGTGTTCGAATTTCTCTAAGCGAGAATGCGATATGCGATAATCGATATACGCGTATCAGGTGTCTGTCGACACATGTACATATGTATGTATGTATGTATGTGTGTATGCATGTACGATAAGTTTATTAATGCTGGAGTTCGTTTATCGTTTTGTCTGGTGTTAATTGTTCTGTTTTATCCGCGTCTTCTAAAGCCTGCAAGAAATACATATGTACATGACAAATACATTTGAAATTCAGCTCGTATGTAAGTTTAACGGTTATGGGAAAGGCACGTGCATGCAGTGTTAAATATTCAAACTGACGGTTCATAACGGGCGTGAATGTGGATGTGATTGGTTTAAATAGTATGTTGTGCGATGCACGGGAATGTATGTATGTGTGTGTGTGTGTGAGTATGTGTAAGAGTATGTGAACGGATCATGCAAATTGGGTACAGCCTTCAAAAAGTTGGTGCTGAACATTATTTATAAATATATACGATAGCATGCATCCGAAATCTGTAGCCATTTAATTTTGTGCCACAAATCGATACAAATTTTACGAATAGAGTGCCAAAGAACATCAAATTGCTGAAACATTTTACGCAGGAAGTGGGGAGTTTTCAATCTAATAAACTACCAGGTACGATATTAATTTGGTGGGGTGTGGGGGATAACACAATATTATTAATACAATAGATAGATAGATAAATACTTAGTTTTCAAAACTACAATTAAATCAATATGGTGGGTGGAGAATTGCATTAGACTCAGTATTGGGAAAATAATGATTTTGGTTTTATATCATTGTGGTGTTCAACAAATAGTATTGTAATAGTGTTGCATATAAAAAGAGACAAGTGTTGTTTCTTGTTCAGTGTTTTTTTTTTTTTTTTTTTAGATTTTAGTTGAATATTAGTAACATCTAACAACTAGTAATTTAGGGCGTTAAAGCCTGTTAATAGTTAAATGAAGCAATATAAAGCACATGCAGTGTTGCCTTCTATGTATATTAATAATGGAATGGTTTGTTGCTTTGGATTGGGTCGTAAATCAAAGCGCTTTTGGTTAGTGGGACCGACTGACCAGTTTACCAGTAGTTTCCTGTTTTCTTTAATATTTGTAAAGCACTGTAATCGAGTTCGTTTTTGAATTATTGTTTCAGTTGTTAACTATATATATTTGTTTTTCTTACCGAATAGTTGACAATAAGCACTTATTTTTTGTATATATTTATAAGTACTTTATAGTACATGGTATGCTAAATTGAGTTTGTTAGAAAAAAACCAAACCAAATATAAAACAATTGAGGCAGAGACATTTTAAAATTTACATGCAAATTAATAATAATATTATTATTTTATTTATTTTATTGTTAACACTAAAGGTTTTTTTCATAAAATCATAAATAAATAAAATAAATAACATGCAAGTTGTTTTTAAATTAAGATAAAGTTTTATTAAATGGAAAATTAATAAAAAATGAAAAATCCGACACCTCTGTTAGGATAATATTATTATAAAAAAGTAACCCTTACAAATTGTTATAGAAGATAAATATATTTTAGTATAAAGTGAAAAAAGTTGTAGTGTTGAAAGAAAGTGTGACCTAAGCAGTTGGAGAACACAAAAACAAACTAAAGTGAAACACCACAAATAAATTCGATAGCATTTTGGACAAAATCAAAGACAAGAAAGTGTAGAATATTACGAATATTGGGAGAAGAAATTGGACACACACAAGTCAAGAATTAGTTTTTGATTGTTTTTTAATAAAAATAAAAATGTATTTTTCATCTTTTAACGTTATTTCCATAGTCAATAAAGAACATATACATTTACTTCATTCAGTATAGATTTTGCTACATACAAATAAACTTAATTAAACATACCATATTTATAAATTCAATTTTCAAAATTGTCAATTTAGAAAAATTGGGCTTTGTTGTTCATTAACACAAAGAACAACTCATTACTTAAGAGATCTTTTTGACTTTGTTCAAGCTTTTGTCTTTTGTCTTTCTTTTGCATTAGCAAAATATTGAGAATTCATTTTTGATACATCGTTGAGATTCATCTACTCGTACGTTGTCTGGTGTTAAACAAAACTACCACTGAGTCGGTCCCACTCACCTGCTTCCAAATCAACATCACCATTACCATCATCGGCATGCAGTTGCGAGCGCTGCTCAGATTCGAGCGCCTCGTCTTCGACAATATTACCTGTGGACGAGGGCGTGTTCTTGCAGCCGAACCACCAGTGTGCTGTTGGCCTGGGAAAGGGTGGTACGGCTGAGTCAACCTGCGGTCAAAAAAAAAAAAAATACAAATGGGTCACGAAAATCCTAATTACTTGGAAGTTAAGTTTTAACTCACCGCGAATCGAGCATCGTGGAAGCGATAGTATTTGTCACCCTTGAAGAAGTACGTGTAGCCATTCGTGTATTTGAGCGCTGCATCCAGATTGTTGGGTACACCCTCCCAGTTGGAAATGGGCTTGGGATAACTGGCCTTGACGGGCGGTCGCTTCGCCGGATCGAAACGCCAGAATTTGCTGCCCTTGAAGAAGTAGATCTTGCCATTGCCGCCCCATACCATAGCCGCGTCCAGATGGTCTGGTATGCCAGTAAAACCTTCGCTGATCTCCTTTGGATAGACACCATCCATTTGGCGGCCCTGGTACCGCCAGTATTGTGTACCCTTGAAGAAGTACGTCTTTCCATTCTTGTAGGTGAAAGCTGCATCGATGTTGCCTGCAAAATATTTGTAATTAGTTAGAGATTGGTGCCCGGAAGCTGAAAAATGTAAACGCTACTTACTGGGTAAGCCTGGCCAGCCCTTTGAGATAAGCTGGGGATAGCCCTCTTCCACAGAATCGGTTGTGAGCTTGTAGTATTTGTCGCCCTTGAAGGCATATGTATCGCCCTGTGCTGATGTGAACATTGTGTCCACCTTGGAGTCCTTGCAAATGGTGTCATCGAGAGGTGTCTTTGGCGGCGTAAATGCGGGACGCTGTGTGCTAGGTGGGTAAACGTTTGTGGGCGTGTATTGGTTGGTCTTGCGCCCATAAAGCGACTGTATTGCCGCCTTATCGTCCTCGTCCAGTCTGAAGACAGGATCAAAGCCGCGATAGAATGGCGCCATCAAAGCTGAACTCTGATCGGAGTGCGATAGGCCCAGAGAGTGACCAAATTCATGAGCAGCCACTTGGAACAAATTCGTGCCGCGTGGTGAGCCAATAGTCCACAGCTCGGCATCATCAAAATGAGCATCACCGCCGAAGACTGGGAAGAAAGCGTGCGCCAAAGTGCCACCTTGACCATCAAAAGCATCACCATCGCCGTGCTCGCTCTCCACAAATCTATTGAGTTCCATACACAGAGTTACATAAAAATATACAAATTAAAATAATGCTCGTTCTTACTTGATCTCAATGTGCACCGGACCGGCAGCTTTTCTGGTGAAAGTTAGATCTGTGTCCTCGCTCCATACAGCAAAGGCACGCGCGATTTCCGCGTCAACATCGGAGCGCTTCAAACGCTTCGGGTATTTGGAGATTTTATAGGTGAGGTTCTTGACACGCCAGCGACTGCCTTGCAGAGCATAGCGCTTTGAGCGACTATCGGCCGTGCCCACACGATCCCTTACACCACAACGAGGCAGGGACATCAGCTTCATGGTCTCCTCATCCAGCTCACCGGTTATGTTTAGACCGGCAAAGCTCTGAAACTCTTGTATAGCGCTCACCCACGTCTTCTGATCGTGCAGCCCACTGCTGGCGGGATTACGTGCTGAGGCGGGCAGATAGCCAAATTGTGACAGATATATCTGCAATGAATAGACAGACAGCACAACAGGTTCAATGACTGATACAAAGGGGCGGTTGTGTGACTGTTCAGATAAGAAATGTTCGATGCAATTTCCCCAAACACAAGATCAATGACAAATGCGGCATAGCGTGCGCCACTGCCACTGCCACTGCCTGACACAGCTGTAGTCTGATTTATGGCAATCAGATTAGCCCTTGTTTTTGTTGTCACTGCATTGTATTCTCACTGCCGCGGTCGCTGTCCTTCAACAGCTGCCGCATGGCAGGCATTTGTCACATTTTCCATGCACACAACTTGCCACTCGGAGTGTTAGTGTAAAAATAAAATCGCCGCGCTTGAAAAACTATTTGACTTGCATAATTTATGAGCGACACTCTTGCAATAATTTATAATTTTTTTTTGTCATAGAAAAAAGTTGTAGAAGCAGAGCAAAAAGAGGTGCAGCGCATGTGGAGATATAAACAAAATATTATGTCATCGATCTCATTGTTTGGTCAAATTCTAATCGTATTTTGTTCATGAACTACAAAAGTTTGGATGTAGGTTGGCTGCAACAAGGAACTCGGGAAGGTTTAATTGGATAGAAAACACACTGTTTGTTCTTTATTTGATTGGTAATGACGATTTTCACAGCTCGTTTTCCCAAAACTGATAAGATTAAGTATATTTCTGTTTACAAAAGTGAAAGAGCTGTTTTATTGATATAATATATATACTATATATATATTGACTGTAATTAAAAAACTACACTAAAATTTGGGCTAAAGAGATTAACATAAACCCTCAATTTACAATGGTTTTGTTAGTCATGAAGTTAATTTCTATTTTTGTTTCAAGCATACAGTTAATCGTAATATATACGAAATATTTCGATGAATCAAATAGAAACAAAGCTTTCGCACTTGTTCTGAGGTGTGAAAATAAATTGGGAATTGATTTTCTCGCGGCAGTTAAGGAAGCATTTCAGTTTGAGTCAAGTTAAGCAACTGTCAGCTAACGATTAAGGCATTTTGATTTTTAATGCGATTTGTGTTTTTGTTATTGTAGCTGGACGCATGTAAAGCAATGCTAGTTAATTAAATTGTAACGCACACGTTGCAGTTAAACAAAGCGTAATTAAATAACTAACTACTCGTAACATTGAGTGTGCGACGTGGTGTAGGAAGTGCATCTGAACAATGCGAGGTTACCAGCGCTTTACGGTTATACACGAAAAATATGTATGCATATAGTATATACCGGTATGTATAAATAAAAGCAGATGAAAAAATAACAGGCAACAGCAATTACAACGGCAAATTGGCAGCAAAGTAAACATTTAATTGGCAACTAAGCAAATGCTTTGTTTTTCTGCTTTTATTTACAATTAATTAAATCTACACAATTGCTTAGTTTTTAGAAACCAGCAAACGGTAAGTTCTGTAAAAGTTAGTTTGCAAAGTTTCGGCAATGCAAGGCGTTTGCCTATAAACTCGTACATATGTACATACATACATATAGTACATACGTAGATACATATGTAAATGTATGTGGCATATACATTTTTGGCATGGAAAACATGTGCGTCTGCTTACGCGTCATGTGTCGCACATTTAAATGCGTCTTCGGTGCCGGGCAGAGGAGCATTTCAAAAATATTGTCAACACAAACACATACATATGTATATAGTAGATATGTACATATATATTTCTATACATATATGTATATGTGTGTACATATATTCAATCGCATAATGTTCGGCTGTTAAATTTTATTCCATTCCCATTCGGCTTGTGAGGAAGTAAATATTTTGATTATAAGTATGCGCGACATGGGATATCTGCGAAGTCGCAGCTACCATCAGCGTTGGCGTCGACGTCGGCGTCGCAGTCGCAGCCGGTAGCTCATCTACCGTCTTGCCTAATAAACTGGGTGGCGTTGGCGTTGGCGTGTGCGGTCGTTATGCGTCGCTGCTACCTGCTGGACAGCTGATGGCAGTGGGCCGACGCCGTCACAAACGCTTCAGATGGGGTTTGGCTTGGGCCGTTAATGTTGGTGTTGAATGTGCCTTTGACTTTGGCCGCAAAAAGGTAAATGAACTTGTAAGTGAAGTGACCGCCGCGAATTATTCGGCTTTTGTTTTGCTTTTCCTTTAAACATGCACACACCACACACACACACACACACACACACACACACACATGCACATGCACACACAATCAGAATATACAAAGAGCCGCATGCAAATTATTTGCTTACAGTTTGCATTTATTTTGATTTCTGTCAGAATTATTACACAACGAAATTAATCTCTTGACGCGCTTGATGGCATTCCATTGTGTTGTTGTTATTGTTGTTTACAATGCAGGCAAGTGACAGTCGTCGTGGTGTGTGACAGATGTGGACGGCACAAATATTTGTGCAAAACACAAGGAGCTCCAGCACTTTGTTTTATTAGTTGAGAAGTGCCTGAGTTGGTGCTGATTCATGTTTGAGTCTTTCTTTATTGCGAGTGTCCTCGTCGGGGTCAATATTGAAGCTCCCAAATGGCACAAATTCAAGATAAACACTTGTACTTTCGCTGGCAATGCTATTGATCTTTAGCTAATGCTGGCAGTATGGAAATCATAAATATTTACTTTTATTTTATTTTATTGAACTATCTTTCACCGGTCGCAATGATCAATACAAAGAATTTCGATTTAACAATTTAATAACAAAGTAGATAGAGCTTTGAAAAACATGTTTAAACTGAATTTAAAGTAAATAAAACAATTTCTCTTTTAAATAAAAACTAATTTATTTATATCCATTTTATTCTTTTCTCATTGGATATAAATATCCTATCAACATTTTTTGAAATAGTTTGTGATTTTTGAAACATAAACAAAGGGCGAAATTACAAAATTGTTTAGAATTGAAACAAAATATTTTATTATTCAGAGTGCTTGAACTTGGTATTTTGGATTCAAATGGTTACAAATTGATTTGCATTTCATTCGAGAATATCTCTTAAATTATCTTTCAGTTTTGTATGCAATATTTGCAAAACAATTCCATTTTTTGAAAGAAACTTGTGCATTTGAAATGTTCCCTCAGAGTTTTAGAGGCCAGTGTTAGTTTTATGTGTTTAATCCATATATGATATTAGCATAATTGTTGCTTTTCAAAATATATGGAAATTAAATGAGGAGCAGCTCGTGGGAACAGAACAAATGCCGTTGGCAGGCATGCACATTTGCATAATTATTACTAGTAGGTATATATTTATATTAGCATTAAACGCTGCAATTAATTTTAGACAGAGGACTTCGCTAAAAGCAAAAATGTTAAATGAAACGTGACGTACCCATGATGAATGTGTTTTTATTGGCGAGCTATAATAAATCGCATGACAGTGCCATAATAATAATGGCTATGGCTACGTGTAGAGAGTCAACACGAAGTTTATTGTCAAAACCTGAATTTTGCAGCCTTTGAAGTGCTGATAAGCCAGCGGCTATCAGCAAACAAATATAATGCACTGTTCCTAACATAAAGGCCTTGACAACAATATGCCATACACTACTCGCGTATCTACTATTTACGAATATCTGTTATGTTTTCTTAAAGAGCTTTACAGCAGATAAGATAGCGCATTCATTCATTGGCACCAAACCCCAGTTGTATAGAACACACAAGTATAAGTATTAATAGCTTATATGCACCTTATCGTTTGACCACCACTATGACGGCTGACTCATTTCGTGCGATTCGTACGAATTTTGGTTCCCGTTTTCCTTTTTTTCTTTAATTTTATTTACTTTTGATTACGTAGCCTAAAAACTTAAAATGCGTCACAAAATGGCCACGATGATACACGCCATATTTGAACGGAAGTGTACGGCGGAAATTGTTTCGGGCACATACTACATACACAGGCACATACTGCATACATATCTGCAATTTTGGACAGTTATTGAGTAAACTGTGATCTGCCAAATTCGACAAATTCCACAGCTAATGATTTATGCAGCTTTCATGAACATGCTTTCAAAATCAATCACACATTGCAATGCTTTATCAAATGTCTGTCAGTGTATCGATTTGTTAGCCACGACTATAAGCGTGTAAGTGTAAGCGCATTTGCATGCGATTAGTTGCATTCGAAATTGCTGCAACTCACCGTGTATTTTGCTTCATTCTATTACCACCGAACACAGTGTACAAATTGTAGAAATTATATACAAATTGCCATACATATGTGATGAATTGCACGGCGCGGTCAATGCTTCTAAAGTAATATTAAAAAAGACAAAACAACAAGAACAATGAACCTACATATATGTTAGTTCATGAAAATGCTCGAATCTATGTCACGTTTGAGAGGGCGTTGAAATTGCATTTCAATTTATGGGACTACAATGTAAATGGACATTGACACAAATTGGCAAGCATACACGGACATACTTGTTACTGACTGAATACAAGTATGTACATATGTTTAATACACGCAATTACAATAAGCTGCCTCCATTAAATGTTTCAAATTCAAAGTTAACTGAATTGGGATTTCTTCAAATTCAAATTACTTTTCTAAGCCATTTAATTTAATTTATTTGTTGACATTGTGCAAAAAGTTGTAGAGTTGTTCTTTGATAAAAAGAAGGAAATAGCTAGGAAGTAATATTTGCAAAGAAGTGTTTCCTAATTTTGAATCCGGGAAGGTTTTGAATGCAATACTATCAATTCTAATTTTTGAGACGGTAAAGTGACAATACAGCCAATTCAAGAAATGTTGAACATGAAACCATGTGGCACTACCTTAGTAACAACTACTTTTTACCTTTTTTTTATCTACATAGTTTATTTATCAAATATTTATCAAATATTTATAATGAAGATTATACATTTATTATGTACATTAACTGTAATAAGAGAAGAGGGAATATCTGGTTCTAATTAAGGTTTTAAATGCAATACTATCAATTCTAATTTTTGAGACGGTAAAATGACTACACAGCCAATTCAAGAAATGTT